AATTGCAGACTACATTACACAAAATGGGGAAAGCTCTGGAAAAAGAAAAGGAGAAATATTGAGACTATGGTAAGCATAGATTTGGCAGAGAGGGTACTGTGGATATTCAGTAGATATCACTTAAGATACTCTGGATATTCATTGAGTCTGAAAATCAGCATTTCATATCTCTGCTATTTTATGTAAAATTAAACTGATGTGGTGTAACTTCAAAAACATTCTGTTTATATTCCCTATGGTATCCGATACTTGAAAGAGGTTGAAATTAGACCAAGACCAACACCATGTGATTTGGGAGAGACATTGCTTCCTGCTCTCCCAGTGCCTGAGCCAATAGTCTGCTCCACCTTCCTGTCTCCTTCCTGGAGTCCTCTTGTTTCTGCAGTCCCCACCTGCGAGCACGTGTAGCCAGCAAGGCGCTGTCGCTGAGTGTGGATGATGAGTACAGGGTGGCACAGGCATTGGAGTTGCTGGTGAAACTGGGGCTGGGCAGTCACTCCTAACCAGCTCTGCATTCCTGTGTGATACACAACAGCACAATAATGCAGAAATTCATCCCTATCCTCATACTCCTTACAAGTGTCTTCTCTCCCAGGCATGAGCAGTGCATAATTTACCTTGCAGGCAAATCTCATTCTTGGCTATTGCATTTCACTTGCGCACCACTGACATTAGATATGGAGAGCCATGCTGTTCACATTTGCTACAAATGGCAAATTGTCTAGCAAGGCTTCCCAGCAAATGCTTGATGCATTCCACAGAGTGAAGAATTGGATTTACTGTTGTTATTGCTATTTGCAGATTTAATTCAGCTATCCACTCCAAAACCTGAAATAGGATTATGTTCCTATTACACCAGATGCTGTTCCAAGTTATGGCAGATGACTATTTCAAGCCTTAACAAGCTAGTGGGTGAATTACATTGCAGAATGGCTAAAAAATTGTTTAAAAAACTGTTTTGAACATTTGCAGGTTAATTAGATTGCTACTTACTCGCCAGCAGCAGTAATTGTCATATAGTATATACTTTAAATAACAAGAGAAAAATTCTATTCCCAACATGGATGTTTCCTAAAAGAATAAAAGAAAATGAGGCTTTCTAGCAACTTGTTTAAATCTTTATTTGCCTTTCTATTAAATTCTCAAAAATCACAATATGCTTTACCTGCACAAGAGAAGTGAGCTGAAATTATTCTTGCAAATTCTGGTCTTTAATTAAGAGGTTCCTGGAAATAAAAAGACCTTCTTCCCTCAGGCAGACCACTGTAACAAGATGAAGATTTATGCAGGGCATAAAATTAATTGTCAGTATTTTGTTCAGATAAAGAAATACAAATCTATGGAAGAACATACATTAAAAAGAATAAGTCTATGGAATTTGAGGCCAGCAACTAGATCTTACGGAACTAATATCTTTTCATTTGGAAAAGGAGTTAATTGTTGAGCAACTGATCTCCACTGTTTTATAGCTCATCATCACCATTATCATTTTACAATTCATAATTACCTTCATTGCTTTTTGAAACCATGGAGAAAAATGCACAAAGGAGTCATGACAGAATTTGTCTACGTAAACATCAAAGGTAAGGAGTAAGAGGAGGGGTTATAAAGATGATGAAAGCATGAGTTACAATTGCTACAAAATGCAGTGACAGAAGAACAGGAAAGCAATTATGGCTGCTTCCAGACCTGTCTCACCTGTTTGTCCTAGCACTGTATGTGCCTCTCTCCATTGTCCCAACCCGTTTAACCAAAAAGAAGACCTAGCAACAGTCACCTAATGTGATGTGCTAATCCTTCTACTGTAACCTAGAAAATGATAATCCATCAGGGGAACAATGCTCATCCTCTTCCATAGAAGAAAATTATAAAGACAGATTATGCAATGGGACTCCAAAAAGAAGTGGCCAATTGAATATGTTTATGACGTGTACTTTCTTGAATCTATTGAGGATTGGTAGAAAATATCTCAAATAACAACTGGAAACTCGGTGGAAGCTCCCTTTCTCTATTGCTTTGGCTGTGGTGAGTTCAAGAGAAAAAGGTGTCAATAAAAGCTGTTTTTAAGATATCCATATGACACAGTTCGTTTTGAGGCTTGCAGATTTCTACATAACTAAATGTCTGAACTTCTGTAAGATGCCCTTGCTTATGCTAAATACCCAAACAGGGGCATCTAGTGCTGTTTTAGATACCCAGGTATGTCCCACCTGGCTCTATGCCTCCGCTTCCTCTGAGCTGAATGCTAGTCTTCTGTAGTCATCTCAGGTTCCCTAAGGCATCTTTGGTGTCACCAGGCAGCTGATTCATATTCTAGAAATTTACTGACTGCAAGCAGAGCTTAAACAGCCATTCTGGTTATAACTATAATCAGCTTAAACACTTACTGTAATCATGGACAGCTAGGCACATTAAATTTAAGAGCCTTCATCTTAAAACTCAAGCCACAATCTAAGACTTTAAATATATATATTGTTTTCATACATATTTCTGTGGTATTCTGTTGATGGAGACCAGCTCAAGACGCCTGGGACAGACGGGCTTAGGCTCTGGTGGCGCAAGAAGCAAAGTTTATTGTTGTTACAGGGTTTTTATATCTTTTAGCTACAGGAGTATACAATACTTAAATCAGATAACATTCATGCAGCTGACAGCAATACATCATTACTTAATTAACTCTTTTGTGGATTATGATCAAAAGGTGTTCTCTTCACAGAACATGTTCTGCTCTTGGTCACGGAACGAAGAAGCTGTAACTTATGCTTGCCAGTTTCACATGGCAGTCCTTCCCTTTCAGGAGGGGCCGCGTGTTCCCTGTTTGACCCTTTCAGGCCAGTCAGGTCTGTTTTGCTTAACAGTCTTCCTCATTCTGTCACCTGTATTTCCCTAAGAATCTGATTCTGCTTTTCTTTCTTTAGCCTGGTCACTGGCTTTGCTGTGCTATGCTAACTGTACAAAGTCTATAGATGTAGGCACTAGGGTGTGAGGTTTTTACCTTTTCCTACAGAATGAGTAGATAGAAGAACAGTAGAAAAGTCTTTGTATTCCATCCTAAGAAATAATGAAAATTAATACAACAAACGGGGGGAGTATCAGACACTGAGAGAAGGATGTGATATAGAATGACGCTAACATTCTAACTAACAGACATAGGGCTTCATAAATGTCTTAGCTTAAAAACATCGACAGTTTACTGTCACTGTCCAGGACAACCTCGAGATGAACTCTTAGGTATTCTTCTCCTTCCTCTGTAAAGCTTGAGCTTTGATTATTTTGAATACTAATATATATATACATATATATATTTTGACTAGGGTGTTACGAGTATAGACAAACAGTAAAAAGTTTTGAAATAATCTGATGTCAGGACAGATTACAAAATGCTAAAGCAATAACTCATTTTTGCTAGTTGAGGAAACTCTTGCCATGCAGAAATCTTAACAGTATGATACAAAAAAAAGAGCAAAAGGAGTTTTGGCATTTAGTTTATTACATACATAGTTAAAGTATATAGCTGTTGCAACAATGACATTATTGCTCTGATTTCCGACAGAGTATCGGTTGTGAAATTCTTCTCTTTTGTTCTGACACATGTGCCCATGTGGGATTGATTCAATTGCCTACCGAATTAGTAAAAAATTAATCACTCTTTTAAGAAAATTGTTGGGTCTCTGCTGGTCTCTTGCTATTAGTTACTTTCTTTCTGTAGCTGTCTCTTCTTTTCTTCTTTCAGTGTTTGTCCTATAGAAAATATGCCTCTGAATATAAGATGAAATGACATTCTTTAGAAGACAATAATAATTCAAACAACATTAAAACCTGATAACATTTTCACATGCCATGAACAGAATAAAATGATGGATTATTACGCTTATTATTTGTATGCCTATTAATTCTTTATAAAAGAATTACTATTGCTTGGTACACTTCTTTTCTTGATAAAATGGTCATAACGTTGAGGTAGAAAATAGCTCCATTATGTATAGTACAAAATTTTACCATTCAGCTTGCTGCTTCCTGAACAGAGATCACAATGGTCTACAGATCTAAAATTGGCCTATGAAATCACAAAAACATAAACATAGCTGAAGAAAACTAAGAAACTGCACTGACATTTCATGTGCAGCTCAAATATGTAAGCATATGTTATGTCTGTAAGCAGACCCACTTCTTTGGGATCAATCAATCAAACACAAAAGCATGAGTAATCCTAGGGAAAAGAAAGACAGCAAAGAAAAAAAAAACCACAAAAATTATTAACAGTTTGAATACTCCATGCAACTCCTTTCCTCCCTCTGTCCCCTTCTTCTACTCCCTTACACAGTAGGAATGGAAAAGATACGAAGAAGGAAAATAAGGATCAAAGGTATGGAGCATTCACTTTGCACATTCTGATTAAACAGGTGTCTTCATTCCATGGGTTTGAAGAGATTCTACCAAGGAATTTAGGATGCATTTCCCGTATGTAACATCTGGCTCAGTAGCAGGCTAGGAAAATTAAGTTTAAAATGTCAGATTGATGTTTCTTTTCCTCTGCTATTGTCCACTGCCATAGTTAAGGATTTTGTCTTACCTGTTGTTGCATCCTTATACTTTTTTGTACTTAAAAATTAGCATACACCCTTTGTAACTTACTAAATCATCATCACCTACTTTGTTTATTAAAAACAACTGTCTCTTAGAAAGGTGTCTTCAGAGACAGGCAGCAATTTTTTCAGTAACAGTGTGGATGGTGTCCTATTTTGCAGCTGACTATAGACAAGCGTCAAATGCTTGTCACATCACATAGCAAAGTCAAGACTAACAAGGCGTGTGTGCTGAGATAAATGTTGTGGACAATTATTCACAGAACAGCGTGCCTATTTAAACCCGAGATTTACACAAGCCAGCTGTTTTAGGAAAAATAAAAAACTAGCTATCTGGATGATCCATAATATTCATGAGGAATGCCTAAACATAGCCTAAAATATTTTCAGTGGTGCATGAGAAGGCTCTGGTCATTATTGGTACAAGTCTACTCTTGATGTCCTGGAACAAAAGATCCCCTGAGTTAAGACTAGTTTCACAGCTTTCCTGAACCAATGATAGGAAAACACATAGATCAAGGGATTGCAGGCAGAATTAAAGTATGCAAACCAAATGAGGATGTCAAATAGGACTGGAGGAGTGATGAAATTCAGAAGGCTGTCTACCATGGTGTCAATAGTAAAGGGCAGCCAGCACAGGAGATAGATTCCTACAGCTACTCCAAGAGTCTTTGCTGCTCTCTTTTCACTTCTGGATGCTCCTCTGTGTAGCTGAGCCCCAAAACTTTTATTCATGTTGTTTATCAATCTGGCTTGCTTGTTAGCGACAGTAAATATTTTTACATACAAAGTTATCATTATGAGGCAAGGGAAGAAGAATACTGGAAAATTCAGCCACCCCCAGAGCTTATTGAACAGCAGCTGGCAGCTACCAACGCAGGGTACATCTTGCAAAAAATGGCCCAGCCCTTCTGCAATCTCTTTAATGTACAGGAAGATAGAGGTGTAGACCATGGGGACTGCCCACCCCACCCCAATGCACATGCAGGCCACTCTTAGAGTAAACTTGGTGGGGTAGAGCAAAGGGTCACAAATTGCACAGTGCCGATCTATGGAAATGAAACACAGGTGAAATATGGAGGTCAGGCAAAAGAGTGTGTCCAGAAAGGTGTGCAGTTTACAGAAATCATCTCCAAAATACCAGCAACTCTCTACAGACCGGATAGTGCTGAAGGGCAGCACAGTCAATCCCAGGAGCATGTCAGCCAAGGCAAGGGAGAGGAGCAGAAAGTTGGTGGGAGTGTGCAGGGCTTGGAAATGGGAAACAACGATGACAACGAGTAGGTTCCCCAGCACTGTAATCAGTATGCCTAAGGAACAGGCCAGGTAAATGACCAGCTGCACCCCGAAGGGATGCTGGGTTCTGTGACAGGAGCCGTTCACCTCATAGCACAAGGCGATGAGCGTCCCCATCTCCGCACTACGGCCCTGGGCTGAGCCCATGGCAGGTCCTGTGCCTGCTCGGGTTAGCCGCAAGCCTGGAAAAGGATTCAGCTTCCAGTGGAGCTGCCAAATGACCTGCAAAAAGCTGTTTAAAAGGCAGATTAGAAGGAGAGATGCCTTTTAATCAAATACTTTCATTTAAACTATTGAACAGTTTGCATATTTCAAGTGAAAAAAAATGAGCCTATAATATCACTTTTGTATCTCCTGAAGCTTCAGATCAGCATGTTCAATTTTAGTTGCAACAATTTTCCTGCATTTTTTACTTGATTTTCTGTCATCCAATACTGTGAGTAGTGTAGGGAATGCAGCAAATCTGTGTAAGTAATAAACAAAATGAAGTCCTGCCATAGAAGGAAAAATACTGCTGAGTAACAGGCTTTGTGAGCCAAAGCTCATGGAATATATTAAAGCTGACTCCAGTATCATAGCACACTGATTCTTGTGAATTTCCCTGGAAAGGAAGTTCCAATTTAGTTGTGAATCTTTTTATTAAATAGAAACTGAGAAGTGATTTTTACAAAGTAACATCTCACTGCAAAAGTAAAACCTGCGTGGCACATTTCTCAGACTAGTTTCCTAGCTATGGGCATATGCATGGATATCTGGTGAGGCGATGACAAATATTCAGCAAGACAAACACAAATATTGCTGTATGTCCTAAAGATTGCCACTGTTTTATACTTGTGACATTACTATTCAAACTTTACGTTTAAGTTATTTAAGTTTTAAATTGAGCTGTACCAAATACAAGATATCAGTGGATTATAATGAGTTGTTCCAGTAATCTGGAATTACTATATCAGATAACTGAATGGCATAGTTTTTAACAGCTACAGTTAAAAACACGGTATTTTCCTCAGTGTATTCTTTTTTCCTTAAAATGACTGCTGTAATAGCTGGATAATATTGTCACCTTTCCCATCCTTCCTAGCATCAACAGAGCTCTTAAATTGGGAATACTTACGGTGAAATAGCTCTTTCCATGCTACGGGAGCTGTACTGCAGTGTATTGAAATCCTTTTCCAAGTACGTTCATTGTCTGAGTGGAAAATGTGAGATCAGTCAACGCCTTAAATAAACCAGATGGAGTGTCCCTGTAGGTGGCTATTATACCTTAGGGGCATAGGGGGACTGTTGTGTATCTGGCAAAAATAGCCATTTTCTGAAAAGCTGTTCAAACACACAAATGCTCAGCTGCTGTTGAATCTCTGAAGGCTTATCTCAAGGTTAGTATCTGTATTTTCTTTCTTAGGATGCTTCTGAAAGAAGATGCAGCTCATGCTAGCTCATCCTGGGGTGTCACTGACCCTCACCCCATGGAGGCCTCCATGACCAGTGTGGACATTAAAAATCCCAGTGCATTAAAGCATAAATTAGGCATAGTTCAGTGAAGGACTGCACTAACCTGGACATATTTCAAAGTTTTCTCCTTTTCCTATGTCCATGTTTTAATAAACAAGCATTTATGTTTAGATCGTTAGAGGCTTTTGGATGGCTTTAATATCACCAATAGCTTTTTTATACTCTGTGCTCTAGTATTCCCATTAATTTTCATTTTTCCTATATTTTACATGTAATAAAATACCATTCTCACTCAATCCCTTTGTCATTCATTGTCAAAATACCCGTCAGCTAGCTAACTATCATGGTGCTTCTGAGGTGATTATTGTCACCTTGAAAGAGGCTGGTGTGTAACAAAACAATCTCAGTTTGCCCTTCCTGCACATATAATTTGCTTGACATCTGATTGCATGAAACAGCTCATGATCAAGAAAAGCCTCAGACAGTGGCAATGTATGCCTTTATAGCTTAAAACAGGAAGAGATTATTAACATGTATCAACTCTGAATGTAAGAATGGTATCATAAAATGAAAAATGTCAATCATTCTCAAAATGTTCCTTCCCTTACCTCTTCCTCTTTCAGACAAAACTGCTGGATACAATCTCAAACTGAGTTTTTGTTGAAAGTACTACATAGCCTAGTAGTCAGCAGAAAAAAAGCCCACAAAAAATATAGGAGGAAAAGTGTTCTATCTGGCATAGTTCAAACTCCTGCAGTGAAGACATGGATAGACCAAGATCTTTTTTGTTGAAATTGCTGTCCGTGGGCTCTAAGTTTTTCTAAGTAATCTCTAAGTCTGAACTCCTTAACTCCTCCTACTCTCAGGATCAACCTGTACCCAGTTCTTCATCCTTCAAACATTCCTCCAATCAAATCCATATCTTTCCAATTTGGAGGAAAGGGTATTGTAGGGTACCATGTCAAAGGCATTACTGATGTTGAAATGGAGGACATCAGTGGCTACTCTTGAGTCCATTGATGCAGTGACATCATCATAAAAGGTGACCAGGTTGGTCAAGAAAGATTTGTCCTTATGATGCCATAATGGTTCTCCAGTATCACCTCCCTGCTTTCCTTGTGCCTCAGCGTAGCTTCCAGGAGAATCTGTTCCATCATCTTCCCGGGCACGGAGGTGAGACTGACAGGTCAGCAGTTCCCGGAGTCATCTTTTTTACCCTTTTTCAAAATGGATATGATGTTTACTTTTTTTCCAGTCACCAGGACTTCTTCACCTGATTACCAAATTGATGGGCAAAGGCACAAAATCTGGATCCTAGCTCCGCTGATGCCAGGTACCTGCAGTTTATGTGAAGGTAAATCTCCACCTGAAGGATTCTCCTTTTGTCTCCAGTCTGTACACCAGAGCATTTCAATATTTCAATAACAAAAGTCAAAGAGTAGCAGCTTAATGATCTATGTAGCTCTTTCTTGTACAGTAAAACTAATTTTACAGTGGTTTTTATTTCAGAGTCCTGGCTTTTCTCTTTCTCTTTTTTTTTTTTTTTTTTTTTTTTTTTTTTTCTTGGCTGGAGAGGAGATGGAGAAAAACAGTTTAGCCTTTGTTTACATGGCAAACGAAATACCTTCAAAGAGGAGCAGGTCTGTGACCCTGCTATTTCTGCTGTCTCAGGTTCAGACATCTGATGCACAGGAGCAAGTACATGTGTGAACTGTGAATGTAGCTTAGAAAGGTGAAAAAAACTATTTATTCTTTCAGAAGTGATCTAGCCACATAATTTGCACTGATTTTAATTATATGTGGTGATTCAGATATTTTTATAATACAGGTGATAATATCCTTCATTAAGAAATTATCCTTAATAATATCCTCTAATATGCTTTGCAGACACTTAAGAGGAGTTTTGCTATTTATAAACCAACTAGAGGCAAAGTATTTTGTCTGTCTGTTTTGTATTCTCAACAGTGCTTCAAGTTGTTTTTTGCCCCTTCATTCCAGTGTAGCCTCAGTTAGACAAATGCTCTGATTCAGAGCTAGCCAGCAAAACATGTTTAAATATCTGGTCTGTTATTAGAATGCTTTTTTTCGGTACTTTTTTCTCCCATTATTGCATTTGGGAAGAGATGTTTAATTGGAATACATCCAAAACCAGTCTTTCTTTTATACAAGAATGACCACAATTTTCTCAGTTTATATGTAGTTAGAGTCTCACGGCTGTCCCTTGAGAAGTTACTCATTTTTTGCCACATCAGTTTTCTCTCTAATGCCTCAAAGATGCATTGTTGCTGCTGCTGCCTTGAAAACAGACACACACACAACCAGTCGACCGGGAAGATGATTTGGTTTGGTTATGTGAAAGGAAGAATAAATAAAGTATTTTAATATATTATGTTCACGTCTGTACATGCCCCTTTTGTCAGGAGTTTCATAGAACTCTTACTTCCACTTACTTAATTTTCATATATAAAATATCTCAGGGAGGTCTTTGTCAAAGACATTACAGATTAGATACTGACTATGGAGCATTAATTTTGGAAATACTATGGCAGTGTCTCAAGGAAATTGCCATTTGGATTTTTGTGTTGCTGCTCATCTCCAAAACATACCTCTGTGCCTCTAGATCCCCTGTTATGCCAGTGATCTGGTGTTAAACACCTCCTAAATGCTCTTCACTATTAAGGCACAAAATAAAGATTAGCAGAGATCTTGTAAAATTAAATCCATCTATGTATTACAAAACGTACAAAATGGTGTTTTTGAAACCTAAAGATTCAATTTTATTTTATTTTTATCCCTGTATAGATAAAAGCAAGATAGAAATGTCAGTCGTCTTCTTTAAAACTGCTTTTGCAGGTGGACTCCACAAGGGGGAAGGAAACCCTCTCAGTTTATTTAAGATGTGACACAAACGATGGAAAAAAGAGACACACACTCCTGCTGCCTCCACTCCCTCCGAGGCAGTGTTAGCTCCTGCTGGAACCATTCCCAGCTAAAAAAAAATAAAAAAAGAAAAAATAGAAGCCCCAGTGCTTCTGGTTGCTGTCCCAAGGAAAGGAACAGCCTCGCAGAATTTGCAATAAAACATGAAAAAATGTGTAAGAGGCTAACGTGTTTCAGAGGGAAAGGTTACATGCTATTTTTAGAGACGAAATCTTGAAGAGATCTGCACTGCTTACATCTGAATATAAATGTGTACCTCATGGAATTGAATGTGGTGAGGGTTATAGCAAAAACTGCAGACGCTCCAGTTCACCTGCAGACTAGCAGGCATGGTCTGCAGATGTTAATCTGCAGCCCTTGATTTCATGCAGAGCAGTGGTTGGTTTAGCATCAGGTTTTGAATTTGTGTTGTTTACAAGCAGGTGGAACAGCAAATAGTGCTGTATCCTGCAAGCCCCTCCCTGTGACAGATCTGCAAGACACCTTGTCCAGAAAAACTACTCCGGTAGTCCAGATCCAGCTGTAGGCAGACTGAGCAGAATACTCCAAACACACCCAAGGACATGAGACACCGAAGCCTCACAGGTAGCTGCAAGTCATTTTCTGAGTATTTGCAGTAGAAGAGATGTAGGTGTAATATATTGGGCTGACTGTGAACAGTTTACATGGATGTTACAGAAATCCTGAAATTATTACTTAAATTGTCTTTGACAGCATCATGTGTCACCAGCTAGGTATATAATATATAGAAAAAAAATTTCAGAAATGCTTTAATGCAGAACCACAAACTTAATTGGATACCTACCATGAACACAGTCCTGTTGAAGTAGCAGGAGGAATTAACACATGCCTGCCCAATAGTTGAGTACAGTGGTGATCACTTATGACAGCAAACACTGTGAAGATCCTTTTAAAGGATATGTGGTTAGTTTTCAACACAAACCCTTCATGGACTTCCACCTGTGCTGTCTGCAGATGCTCATTCTTATTTTCACATAGAGACTGATCTGATGGCACAGAAGTTCCTCTAAAGCAGCCACATTGAACCATATGAAGGCATGGCCTGGGACATCTGGTTGTGACACCACCTCTGTAGTCTCCCCTATCATCTGTCATGAAACCCTCCCTGCTGACAGCAGCACACTGAGGATGCTACATATCCCTTCAAGCACTGCAAATTTCAAGGGATTGATCTCCAAAGGAGAGGCAGAAAGTCCTGCATCTTTAAGTATAGCAAGGCTCACATGAAACTTACAAACAGGGTATTTCCAAAGGGAGATTTCTGAGTTCAGTTTCATGCCCAAGGGCCTTCCTATCTGGTAAGCGAATCATTTTCCCTTTCATCAGCTCTTAGTGGACAACAGGGTCCATCTGCAAAAGATCTCTCATTTTCGATGCTGATCAACAGTGCACCTCAAGAAGTCTACCCTGAAAGGCATCCCAACTGAAGGGAATATAAAGGGCAATAGGCAGTGGTCAAGAGCTCAAGGGGTTCTTCACTTAGGGCAGTATTTATAAGATCTTGAGATAATTAACTTTAATCAAAAATCTTTCAATTTCTGGCTACAATTCAGGTGAGGCAATCTTGGAATCTTCTCCTGTAGAGTTCTGGTACTCTCAGACTGTACATTCCTGGTGCCTTTCAGGCCAGGCTACAAGGAGCTTGAGTTTCAGGCGTGGTCAGGGAGTGCCTGATCATCTAAACTCACCACACTTGAAAGGCAAAAGCACAATGGTGGCTTACACTGAGCTTGTAGAGTGTTATGGTGAGTCTGCACCACCACAGAGCCACAGCTAGAGGCTTCAGTTCCATGTTCGGGTTTGCTGGAGTGAATCTTGGGAGAGTTCGTGGTTGGAATATTCTGTAGCACCTGGAGCCTGATGTGGAAGCTAAGAAAGCACAGGGATGTACATAAAATGTGAGTAGAACTCTCATTCCTGTGCACTGTGCATATGGGGGATAAATGCTGCAAATCCGATTCCGCTGATTTCAAAGGAAAAGAGCAACTTCAAGCCAAAATTACACTGAAATTCTATACGCTGGGAATTACAGCAGATAATATACATCTATACATTAATGCCTTAGTCAACCTTTAGACAAAAGGTTGGAAATACTATCACCATACTGGTTTGGGATGTATTCAGCTTAGGAAATTATTGATGGTGAACCTCAAGAAAGACTTGCTGCATGCACGCAGAATTAGATGAAATTAGATGTTTATAGACTGTATACTTCCTGAAATAGTTCATGCAGAGATTCTAGAAAAATTTAACTTCTCAAACAGAATCAAGGCAGTAAGAGTCAGCACAGGTGGCAACAAAATGCCAAAATATAAAGTGTCTGATTTTATTAAGGGAATATTTGATAATTCTACAGAACTGAATTGTGAGATTCATATTGTACATTTCAAATAATTCACTGAATTATGAACACCAAGTAATCTGTTGTTTAATCTTCACCTTTAGAACTGGGTGTCAGTTGTAGAATCTACAATGTACTACTGTGACTAATCTTCAGATGAAAGTTTTGTTGTACGAAGTTGGGAGTTAAATATTTTGCCTGTTACAATATATTTAAAAGCTTTCCGAAACCATGGGTAGAAAAAGCCATATATTAATGGATTACAGGTAGAATTTAAGTAACCAAACCAGTTTAGAGCATCAAACAAAGGGGAAGGAATAGAGAAATTTAAAAATGGATCAAGTAGGACTGCAAAAAAGCAAGGAAACCAGCATACAAAGAAAGCCAACATAACTACACTCAAAGTCTTGGCAGCTTTCTTGTCTTTACTCTTAGGAAGTCCATTTTTCATATCACTTTTTCTGTGCTTGTGTGTCAGGCTCAACACACGTATGTGCTTTTGGGAGACTACAAAAATTTTAATGTAGATCCCTAACATAATACAAGCAGGAGCAAAAAGACCAACTGTAAATAAAACAATCCCCCATGCTTTGTTGAACATAATAGGGCACAAGCTTGAGCATTTGACCAAACTTTCATAGCCCTCAATTCCAGAAGCATAAGCTTCCGAGAAAACAACACCAAAAGCAAATGCAGCTGGCACTGACCAACACACTGCTGTTATTTGCTTTATGGCAGCCATGGTCATTGTGCTGGCATAATGGAGAGGGTGGCAGATTGCATAAAAACGATCCACTGCAATGGAACAAAGATGAAAAATGGAAACCAAGCAGAGCATCAGGTCAAAACTGTAATGAATTTTGCAGAACATCATCCCAAAATACCAGCAGTTCTCCACAGATCTCACCATGCTGTAGGGCATAATGGCAAAGCCCAAGAGGAAATCTGTGACAGCCATGGATAAGATGAGAAAATTGGTTGGAGAATGAAGCTGTTTGAAATACAAGATGGAAAAAATTATGGCCGTATTCCCTGAGACAGTGAGAAGGAAGGCTGCAGTTATGGAGAAATACAATACCCCTCGTACTCTCGGTGACCTAGAGCTGTCAGAACAGGACCTATTTCCAAACTCAAAGCAGTCGGTAAAATCTCTCGAGATGTTCATGGAAAATATAATAATCCTTTATCAATTTTTCTACTGGGTATGAAGTTCCATAAGTAGATACAATTTTCACAAATTTCCAAAAGGTTCCATGTCCTAACATGAGAAGAGAAGAAAAAGTTAGACAAGAGCATGAATAAATTACAGAGGGGAATGCAATAATTCAGAGACAAACTTTCTCTTGGCTTAATTATTGCAAATAGTGTATAAAAAAGCAGTTGAAAGCAAGCTTAATTATCTTCTAAATTAACTGAACTATAATACAGCATCAAAAGTATTTTATGCATTCTTTTGTATCTAGATTACTTTGTAAAATATTTTGTCTTTCAAATAGATGTCAATATCACTCATTCTAAAACATTAGAAGAAAAAGATGCGTAGACAGAGAGACCCAGGCTCACTTCAGTCTCCAAATACTGTACAGGATTTTTTTGTCTCTTCAATCCTAGAACATTGATATTTTCTAAAGGAGAAACATGTCATCACATCAACTTTCCTAGAGATTTCAGTCAGTGGGTTATATTCTAATGCTCATTTTGTAAGTCAAAAATCAGCTGCCAGCTCCCCCTTTTCAAATTATTAATCATTCTAAACTCACCTTTTGTGGATTATAAAGTATTAACAATGAATACATCTGATTGAAATCAGTTTCAATGCTTGTTTTGAGTTATTATAGTTTCAGTATCTGGAAGGGTTCAGCCTTGCCTTGTTTCCTGAAGTAAGCTGTGGTCCAGCTGCAATAAATACATATGAATACACTTGTGACTATTTTCAAGAGTCAAAAAATTCCCTTTCTTCTGCAGAGAACCACACCCTTTTCTTCCCCATCTAATTCTTCTCTTAGACTCAGAAGAAATTTAGAAATAGAAGCAAAAAGAGATACTCTTCTCCACATCAATATAACCCTATCAGAAATAACTTGAGAAGCATTTTAGTCCACTGAATTTTCCAATGGGCATCACCTTGAAATGAAGAAAATGCAGAAAGAGAGCACCAAAATATTTAAATAGTCATCTGTTTTATAGAATAACACTACCTGAATCTGTTTTAGTATCATCAGTAGATTCTTTAGTAGGTATTTTCTTGTTTTGTTATTGTTCTGCGGTGTTGCAATGCCTGTAAAAGGCAGACCATCTTTATACCACGGTTCAGTTTAGTGAAATGTGGGAAATTATTTTTCTTTTATGGCTTAATACTTAATTCCCAGGAGTTTTTAAGTTAAAAATATTTGTATAATTCAGGGATTGACATCAACAGGAGATAAACATAGTGAAGTGTCTGAAATCCCAAGACCATTATTTCTCTTTTCTCCATTCATTTACCCTCATGCATTACTGAGCTGCTTTGGTGAGTTAAGGTAAATATAAGCCTTATTAAAATTAGTCTTTAAAAAATTATAGTAAAGTTTAAGATGAAAGGAAGTTGTAATGTTTTTTCATCTACAGTATTAGAAAGTGCTCCTTAACTTTCAATTTTAAATAATTACTATTTCTAATGAAACTTAGAAACAAAATATGTAATAAATTTAAGATTATCATCTTGTAACTTAATGAGTGGAAACAGCACTGTCTCTCATGCTAGTTGTAGCAGTAGCTTTTGTACAAGGTACAGAGGAACTTCCCTATACTTTAGCAAACAATAAAGATGTACAAAAAGAAATGTTATTTTAGAACAATTTATCATCTGTTATTGGACAGTTTCCCATTTAAAAAGAAATAAAACCCAACAAAAGAAAAACCCTTACAAGAAAAGACAAAAATAATTCACTACTTATATGAATAAATTGAGTCTTCTGAGGTTAGAGGTGGATATTTAGATGTTAAGGCTGAGTGAAGCTTGTATGGATGTATGGAAGATTCATTACAAGCCCAAGTGCTAATTGTTGTTATTCAGCATATGGAGGATGGATTCTTATTGATTAATAAAGTACGTCATGAAAAGAGGGCAGAAAATGAACACCGGTTTTAAAATTAACTAAGGAAAATGTTAGAACATTTAATGGAGTTTACCTTTTTGACAGTTGTTTCAAAAGACAAATAAATGGGGGAACTTTCTGCTGGCAATAAAATGCAAATACAAAACAGAATCATTTATTAACTCCAAAATAAAATAATAATAAAATAATATTTTTTTTCATTGTGTACAGTAGAAATATTTTATTTTTGAGATCTGACAGTATTTTTGTGACAAACATACCTAGAAACCCTTTTTTATGTAATTGAGAAATAGGCAAGCTTCACACAGTTGATCTTTTGTTAAAAGAGTCACTAAAATATAAATCTGCAGAAATCTATGCAGACCAAATTATATTAGATTTCCAACAAATTACTGTTAAAGGAGGCTATGCTTCAAAAACCATTACCTTCAGGAAGCAGTGTTCCATGCACCTCACTAGCGGTTCTCTTTTCAGCACGGTGCAGCAGACTGCAATGGGGGAACAATTTGATATATTTCAAGAATGAGATGTTTAACAACTAATAATAAATTTACAGGAATTGAAACCTTTATGAAAGAATCTGTTTAACTGGGTTGAAGGAAGGTTGCTAAATGGATCTTGAAAGCTGTCCTTGAGAACTAATCATACCAGATACTGCAACACAGCACTGGCAGTTTGGAGAGAAAATGGTGTAGCCACGATTTTCATTGATAGCACAACCTAATTCTTGCCTATGTTTTGCTTCATCTTGCACTTTGTTATTTCCTTGATGCTCTGAAATATTGATTGGTTCCAGTAAAGCACTGTGAAGACAGACCTCTCTTATTACCCTGAGATGACTTCAGTGAAGTGGAAATCACAACAAAGAAGCATAAAATATCATCTCAAATTTTCTCAAATGACTGCTTTCTCCTGTTGGTAACTGAGAAAGTACAGAGTATAAGGTACACTACACTCTGTTTTTCAGTTTTCTCTCCTTAACTGATGTATATCTTTTAGTTAGTATGCTATGACTACTTGATGCTTAAAGAGAATAACTTCTCTTTCCATATATCTAGAGTGGGTTATGAAGTTCTCACTGCCTAAGTTGCTTGCAGACCTGATCTCTTAGGAAATTAATTTGTTTTACAAAGGCTAGTGCATGCATCACACAAATATTTTCAATTATCTAAGCACAACATTTGATTTAAAGTGAAGGCTATGAAGATCATGAAGAATAAAAAATGTTTTAAACAAACTTAAAGGAAAAGAAGGAAATTGAATTTAGTTGGAAATAATTAATTTAACGAGGCTAAATAACACTATGCAAGACTTGGTAAGTATGATAGGAATTAAATTTCATAAAATAACAGGATCCCAGAATAATTGACATTGGAAGGAACTTCTGAAGGTCACCATGTCCAGCTGTCCTGCTCAAGCAGTGCTATCTAGAGATGGTTGACCAGAGCTGTGCTTAAATGGCCTTTATATATCTCCAGGCATTAAGATATTTACAATAAATGTTCTCCACAATCTTCTGGACAACGTGTCTTTTCTTGGTCACCCTCACAGTTAAAAGGTGTTTCCTGATGTTCAGATGGAACACACTGTGTTTCAGTTTGTGCTCATTGTCTCATTTTCCAGTTCCTTAATCATCGTGACCCTTCACTGGACTGTATTCACTTCGTTCATGCCTTTCTTGTACAGAGGATTAGAGAAATGGACCCAGTATTCCAGGTGCCACTCTGGGTTGCAACATTACCCCTCTTCTATCAGCCACTCTTCACAATTTGGTATCATTTGTGAACTTGCTGAGAGAACTCCCTAATCCAGATCACTAATGAACATGTGAAACAAACACTGACTCCTGTTTAGACTTTGAGCCACTGATCACCATTCAACCCCTTGGCCATTCTCTCAATATTCAATCTGTTCTTTCAATCAACTATGCTTATCCAGTCCATATCTCAGCAGCTTGTATTTATATAGAAGAACTAATGGGATACAGTGCTGTAAGACTGTACTCAAGTCAAGGCAGACAATATATACTACTATCTACCAAGTCAGATAGTATATATTGTCTGCCTTGACTTGAGTACAGTCTTGGCACTGTATCCCATTAGACTGACTACCAAGTCAGTCATTTCACATCACAGATGTTTATCAAATTTGGGTCATGCCTAGTGGAAAAAAAACTTACTCAAAAAGGAGATTAGAGCTAGCATAGTCTTTTTCTGTATTAGGTCACTGGATGATGCAGTTACACTGAAGACTGTAGATAACTAAGATGATCAGAAAAAAATGTTCAAGAAAAAGCCTTTTGTGGAACACTAAGTATCTTGTATTTGACTGTATCTAGCATTTCTGTTCTTCTCATCTGTGTTGAATGAGTATTTATGCAATGTACAAGAGAGTACAGTGTGTCCAGCCTGGATGAGTTAATGATCTAGGGAAAGCCATACACTTTGTGGAATTTACACAGTTTGAGAGCTTATTTTTTTCTGTTTGAGAACTGCACTAAATCACTTTTTCATCCAGCTGGTAAGAATGCTCCATTTTGGAGTGATACTTGCATTGTGAGGTTTCTGGAAGGGTTCTGCTTGGATAGCCAGTGCTCATCTTTTTTCCCTGTGCCACTTCTGGTGACCAAGGGGCAGGCCATGAGGCTCAGCTGGAGGTGGGACCACTGTGCATTGAGCCAAATCAGGTTGCCATTCACAGGCTGCAATAGTGTGTCAAAACAACCAAAACACAAGCTACAGCTACCAAGACAGAGGCAACAGGTGACTCTGTGTCCTGGACTTACTGCAAGAAACCTGTCACTTCTGTTTAAAGCATGAGAGGAGGTGGCATTGAAAACTATTTTCACTGGTGGCAAAACAAATAGACCTGGGTTTACCAACAAAAAAGATCTGTTCATAATGTTGAAATAATTGCTTTGCAGAAGTTTTCAGGGAAGTTAAAACATACAAAATCACCCACTGGAGATTCATTTGCTTCCGAAAAAGTAGACATCTGGGAAGTGTTTAATAAGGTCACTAATTAAATGTGTTGATAAGTAGTTTAACAAGACCCTTTGCAGTTCATTTACATGATGTCACCTTGTAATCAGGTACCTTCTACATCACTAAAGCTAACCGATAATCTGATTGGACACCAGCAAGAGGTATTTTTTTCTGCTCTTCTAATTTATTAAAAACTCAGGTTTGAATAGAGACCCCATGGTCTCATTAACACCTCTCACTTGTATGTCCCTTTCACACTGAGAAATAACTTTGTGCTACCTGTGAAGAGCTAATGAGAGAAAGTAACGTGGGACTTCATTAAAGTTGCTCTGTCAAAGGAGACACTCTGTAAACAGAAGGCAAGGAGGCACTTTGGGAAAGTGACACCTTTGGGTAACAGGATACCAGAGAAAAAAAAGTTATTTCTGAAACTTTCTGAGGTGGGTTGTGCACAAAACTGACTTATAGGTCAAGTATGAAGAGAAGTGACTTCTAGATATGGATGGAGGTCATCAGAGAGTGGAAATCCCTTACTTTTGCAATTTATTAGCGTTGGTGACATCTTGGCCAGACTAGCTTTTAGCAGAACTGTTGGTTTACACAGTGAAAAATTCTTCCACCATTTCCGTAACTTGGCTGTGGTGGTTCTGTGCAGCCATGATGTTTTATGATCTTCTGCACAGTGTTCATGGGATGGCTAAGGTGATCCTAAGCGAAGGTCTCTTTTTCTGCACTCTCCAGTAAGTCAAGATTACCTACAAGCTGCTCACAGTTTGTGACCTGCTTCACTTTCAGTGTGCTCCAGGGCAAGACCTCAGGGAACTTCATGTATGCCTCTGGGACTCCACCTGTCGCACCACCTTCTCCCACTTGTAGCTACTCAGGCAAACCTCAACTACTAGCTCTATGGACCACAACCTCGATCCAAAGATTCATTTCAGGGCTCTTGCTAGTCAAGAGTTGGTCCTTAGAATTTGTCTAACTGCTAGTTTCAGAAAACTGGCCTCGATGAAGTTTTTTTGGTGTCCCAAGAACATACCCACTTTTCCATAGTGTGAGATACATCTGTGCAAGTAACCTTCATCTAAGCTACCTAAAAACTGTATCTGAAATTGCCTAAAACTTTGTGCTAGAGACTAGAAGAACCTTCATGGTAGTAAGAAAAGGAGCATCTACGGTGGCAATTCTTTTCACCTAAAAATGGATAAGGTGGTGAGATAAAACACCCTTGAAGGTAACAGTTTTTCTCCAGTGAGCATAAAAAGAAATGCAAATGACTAAAGTAGATAAAAGTACTGCTTTTTAGATGTCTAAAATTAGCTTAGATTACCATCAGCCTTCATGAATGTGGGACAGTCACGTAGAAGCCAATGATCACCAGCAAAAAGCAAGATAAACAGATGGGATCATACTTTTTCAGTTACAGACCCAGAGGGGTAAGATTTCAATTGCCTTAGGCAGAGGTTATTTATAAACCTATTACAAAATTGCAATTTACAACAACCCCCTACACATAAATAAGAGGAAAGAACAAATTAGAACATGGCATAAAAGGAAAAGATGAAGAAAGGTTCAAACTGTGATCTGTGTGCACATTTTTAAGAGTTGCAAATAGAATGCTGTCTCTGGTCTTGCCACACATTGTTGAGGTTTTTATACAGTGAATGAAGGGGAAAAGGCAATGTCCCCTTTTGCTTCTTGAAGGGACTACAGTAACATATGCTGAATTTATTAAATATACCTAGAAACTCTCAGATGGTCAACATTCCTCATATGGAAACACCACTTACCTGCAGAGCCCTGTAGAGAAGGATCTGATGATTCTGGTGGATGAAAAACTGAACATGAGCCAGCAGTGTGCTCTTGCAGCTCAGAAGGCAAATGGTATCCTGGGCTGCATCAGAAGAGGGGTGGCCAGCAGGGACAGGGAGGTGACTGTCCCTCTCTATGCTGCCCTTGTGAGGCCCCATCTGGAGTACTGTGTCCAGGTCTGGGGCTCCCGGTACAGTAAGATGTGGAGCTGTTTGAGAGGGTCCAGAGGAGGGCTACTAAGGTGATCAGAGGGCTGGAGCACCTTCCCTAAGAAGACAGGCTGATGAAGCTGGGCTAGTTCAGCCTGGAGAAGAGAAGTCTGTGAAGAGATCTCATTGCAACCTTCCATTATTTAAAAGGGGATTATAAAAGGAGAGGAATCAACTTCTTACTCAGGTAGATAGTAATAGAACAAGCGGGAATGGTTTTAAGCTCAACAAAGGAAAGTTTAGATTGGGTATCAGGGGGAAGATCTTCACAGAGAGTGGTGAGGTGCTGGAACAGGCTGCCCATAGAGGCTGTGGATGCTCCATCCTTGGAGGTGTTCAAGACTAGGTTGGATGGGGCCCTGGGCAACCTGATCTAGTACCAGATCTGGAGGTTGGTGGCCCTGCCTGTGGCAACAGGTTTGGAAATTGATGGTCCTTGGTGTCCCTTCCAGCCAAAGCCATTCTATGATTCAATCTATAACAGTACCAGAAGAAAGAAGATATCACCTGACAGCAGTTTTGAAGCTGCCATTTCAAGGGAGATCAATATATCTGAATGATCACATAGTTCACTTCAGAAAGCAACATGAAACATGAGAAAATGAACTGTATCAGGCTGACCTCAATGGGATGAAGAGAAAGGGAATTATGCATTCATTTATTGGAAAGGTAGATTTTTTAAAATCTCAAATTACTTTATTTCTCTGAGATAAAGTATTAAAGTAGTCATTTTGTCACAATTAAGAATTATCTTCCACAGTACAAAGCTGATGTGTTGCATATTTCAGTCACTGTTCTTCTTCTTTTTTTTTTTTTTTTTTTTTTTTTTTTTCATTTTGGAGTGTGCTAACTTACACAATGGCATTGTAAAGGAGTGTCAGATCCTGTTGTTTTGGGTTGTTTTTTTGCTCTGCTGAAATATAGTATCACTGGACTCTTGTGCTCTACAGTGCAGAGTGCATCAGTGCTCTGAGAGCACAAAAAAAGAAGATAACACATAGAATGTGTGCTTACCCCAGCAACACGAATGGAGGACAACATTTACAGCTGAGCATAGCTCTTACTTCAACATCAAAGCATCAATTTCACCATAGCACTTTTAGGTACTAATCTTTTATTGTGCATTTCCGGAATTAGTCCATGCTCCAACCAGATGTCACAGGATCAGGCCAGAAGTGTTATTTCCTTCTGTTTGGTGATACGTTAATTCTAGCAAAAAAAGTTAGAGAAAATTACAGCCTGTGGGCCTTCTTCAGCTGGTGACCATGTTTTAGTTTTTGACTTATTTGTCTGTCCTTTGAATCCTGATGTGGTTGGTGGATGTCCAGAGAAGCCACACATAGATGTAATCTTGAGAGCCTGCCAACCCAGGCATCATCACCCCAAGCCATTTCTATGGCCTTTCTGCCACTCCTCACAGTGCTCCCACATCCACTCTGTCCCACTCACCCTATATTTGGGCCAGATGTAACAGTTCTGTAACAGTTCAGTATACAGATTCCTCTCTGGCTGTCACAGCGTTGCTATCAGACAAAACAACAATATACTCAAGCCAAAAAAAAAAAGTGTTGAAAGAGGCAAATGTGAGCATATTTTACATTGAATTTTCATTATGAAAGTATCATTTTCAGGCAACATCAGATTCAGAATTGCTTTTCACAAGTGCTTTTCATTTCTTATGACATGTTTTCCATATCTTAGATTTCATTAAAAATGCTTTTGTCTTCATTAAGCGGCAAAGCCTGTAAGTGACAAACACAAAAGTGAGAAGCACCAATTGAAATGTAAAGAGAACCTTGTCGCATCCTCCCTCCTTGGAGTGTATTGACATGGCTGTGTATTAGGATATTCTGACTTCTGCACACATACTGAAGGGGAAGGGAAAAAACATAAAAACTTTGGGATTTTACTCAAAGGCATCTAAAAATTCAAGAGAAAAGGCTTTTCTGTTAGTTCTAGAGAATGGCAAATATACATTTTTATTTATTTATTTATTTTTTAATCTGTCGTTTAGGAATCACTTCCTAATGAAGAAAAGCAGTTAATAAATTGCTCCATATATGTCATATGAATAGCTAAAATCAAAACACTACATACCTACAATTCGCAGTCTAGAATGAAAGGAGACAAAACAAAATGGTCACTTATATGCTTAAACCAAATCTGATAAGTGAGCAAACAAATAAGTGCTTTTTCTGCCATTTTCAGCTCCTGCCTCCTGGAGTTGCAGGCAAATCTCAGTGCTATGAAGCCAGCCATGTAAAGGATGTTACTCTAAAAATAACTGAGTCCTTGATAAGTCCTGTTGAAAAATATTTCCAAACAGAATAGTCTTTAACGCCCTGCGAAACCACAGGTAAAAAAATGCATAAACAATGGGATTAAATGCAGAATTTAAATAACCAAACCAAACCAAAGCGTCAATGAGAATAGGAGGTGCTGCATAATTCATAAATGGGTCAGTTGCTGTAAAGAAGAAGAATGGGCTCCAGCATATGAGAAATACTCCCACTATTATGCATAATGTCTTTGCAGCTTTTCTTTCTCTGCAGAATGAAATGTGCTTCGTTTCATATCTTTTCTTTCTTTTGCTAACTGCATCAATGGATCTTGCTTGCCTTTTGGCTATAGAGTATATCTTCCTGTAGATGAACAGCATAACTAATCCAGGGATGTAAAAAGACACTATGGAAGTGATGACACCTGAAGTTTCACTAAAGAAGACCAAGCACCCTCCTGCACAATGGATGTGATTATAAATCTCTTTTGCCCCTAGCAAATTTAACTCTAGAAAGATCATCCCAAAAGCAAAAGCAGCAGGGACGGTCCAACTTACCAATATCATGACCAGGATTACAAAAGTATTTATCTTTGATTTGTACCTGAGAGGGTCACACACAGCATAGTAACGATCAATTGATATGAAGGAAAGATGGAAGATGGAAGTCGTGCTCAGCATAATGTCCGTGCTTGTGTGGATCTTGCAGAAGAAGTCTCCAAAATACCAGCAGTGCTCAACAGAGCGTACCATGCTGCAAGGCATGATGAGGAATCCCAGCAAAAAGTCAGCTGTAGCCAGGGAAATTATCAGGAAGTTGGTAGGTGTGTGGAGCTGCTTAAAATGTGATATTGAGATGATAACCATTAGATTTCCAATCACTGTGGTCAGAATAATGCAAACCATGAAGATATACATGGAAATACGGACACTGTTTGACCAATTGCTCTTCACACAGGAGCCATTTACAGATTCACAGCACAGCTGCATCCTTACTGAGGGATCAAATGCACGCTGCTATGTGGTATAGATTTGCCCTAGTGCTGAAGTGCACTTACAGCTGTTTCCTCTTTTTGTTGTGAAGGAAGCTGCAAGAAGAAATAAAGAGACCATCATAAACACCTTCAACTAGTTGAATGTAAACAAAAATCACATTTCTTACTTTACGAGGGATTAAATTATTTTGTAACTGAACTTCTAACAGAATTAGTTTTTTTCACTAGACTTCCCTTGAAGCATGTATCTCATTTGATAAAATAAACTACATAACTGGGGATCTCCACACCAGAATAGCACTCCAGCCCTGTCCTCACAGAGGCAGCTGGACCTGCTGTTCACCTGGCAAAGCCAAAATGCTTCCTTGAGCCCCTGGTTTTCAGACACATGGCACTGCCTGGCCAGATCAAATCATTCTGTAAAATCTTGTATGATCGAGCTGTAAGGAGGCATGTAAGGAAAGAAATCTGAGTGGAGAAATGAAGTTTTCTGACCTTGTACTGCTACAATGTAATTGAATAGCCTGACTAATCTGAAGCATTAGCTGCTATTTAAGCAAACATCGCTACTGTCAGGCTCTGGTTTATTTCAGTGGTAGTAGTTTAGAATCATAGAATCATCAAGGTAGGAATAGACCTCCAAGATCATCCAGTCTATCATCCACTTACCACCAATATTTTCCTGCATCTAAATATCTAAAGTTTTCTTAAACACATTTAGCATCAGTACGTGTAACTGCTGTGTTAATACTGTGTTAGCATCTTTGGGGTACAAATATTGCTGTCCTTTTGCGTGTGTAATAACTCATCTGTTTTGCAAGGCTATTTTTTTGCAAAAGCATTTCATGAAAGTACTCTAGCACTTAGCAAGCAACGTTCATCATCATTTTCCTTTAATTAAGAGAAAAATTTTATTATCATGAAAAATAAAGAATATTGTCCTATTATGTTCAGTAGCATTAGCATTATGATATAACATAATCTTTTAAGTCTGAAAAGTACAGCAATTCAGGCATCACTAATATAACTAATTTTCTCTGGGGCTTTGCTGCCTGTGTTTATTTTGTATAAACATACATTCTGATCTTCATCTGTTTTATGGGTAAGGAAATTAAGTATAGTAAAAAAAATATAAGACCAATCAGAGAGAATTAAGGTGCTCTCTTGTTTCCTTTTCTGTTTGAAAGATGAATAATTTTATTTCTGTTCTCTGACAATGTTACTATCCGTATACGTGTATGTTCTCTGACAATGCTACTATATAGTATATATATACTACATACATAAAGGTATATGAGATCTCCTGGAAACCATATATCTTTAAAAAAAAAACAACCTTATTTTCAGGGAATTTTTCTGTTGCTGTTGAACAGCAAGAATAAATTCCAACAAAAAAATTAAATAAAAAGCAAATTGAGATCGAGTGTGTGGCTTTGCATGGAAAGAGAAACAAAATAAATCAAAACTCCTACAACAAACTGTCCAATTAAGCTGAATATTGAAGAAGTTTTCAACAAGAAATTAGAACACTGTCCTTAATTACAAGTATTGGTTTAAAATTCAAGAAAATGAAAATTGGAAGAAGCATACTTTTAAAAACCTGCCCTCCTACCTTTATCTCCTGACACTGAATAGAAGTCTGCTCCTGGTGCTCACTTGTTCTCTGCTCAGTCAGTGCCACCCTTTTCTTTTAAAGACGATCTCAAAACACAGCTGAGCCTCTTCATCGTCATAACTACTCTGGATAGCATGAATTTAAGAGGACTGGCACTCAATCCAGAGCAGCCTCCAGGGTCCCCAGCATATTGCTTGATAACTATTGTGTTATTATGTGCAATGAATGGAGTTCTTGGCCCTCTGTTTCAATATGAACAGAAGCTCTAACTATTTATTTTGTCATCTAGTTGTCTTTGTTTAACAAGCCTTATTTATAGACACGTTGAATTCATCTGGAATATATTTACTTGCTTAATTAAGCACTGTGATCATTTTGTGAGCAGCTCAAGATTAACCAGGAGGCAAACAAAAATCATCATGTAATCTCTCTTCTGTAAGTTCCTAAAATATAGCAAATATATACAGGTGGTTTAAAGCAGCATGTAACATTACACTGAAAAGATACCGCACACAGATTGCCATGACGTGCATTTGTCAGCCTAGTTCTGCTTACACTACTGAGCAAACAGGTTTAATCTGACAGCCTAATCATTTAACAGCTATTTGCAAAATACAGCTAGTAAAAAGGTGTCGAAAGTAAACTCCTAATATTGATTGCACTGGAGTCATTGATGAGGCTCATTAACTTCATGCTCCACAAAGGACCACGCAGTCCTTTGAAACAGGGCTGTTACATCAAAAACTGGTAATGTGGTGAGCATTAGCTAAAGCCCACTCACGCTGGGTGACTCAGGGAGATACACAACAACATAGGTGTCAACTTGCCAACTTGCTAACTTGCTAACTGTACTCCATGAAGTTGTTTAGCTGCTTCATTATATTATGTCCACAAAAATCCAAACGAATGCAAACAACTTCCTTTATTTTCCTTGAGGACTAGAGCGTTATAGTTCAAGAGTTTGCTTGCTACAGAAAGAGTTCACTAAAAAAAAAAAAAAAGCACACTGTGATCTGGAAAAGCAACTCAGATTTCAGAAGCAGCTACCTGGCATCAATCAGCCAAACTCCTTCATCCTCCAGCATCCCGGTGCCATCACAATCAGAGCAGACAGGCTGGAAGGCCTATCTATGCTTTGAGCAACTCTGCTCCTTTTGGTTTTGATTTACTACCTAGACAGAAAAAAGTTTCTCGTTTCCATATGGCTCATTTTAAAAACTTGGTCTCTCTAAGGATAGCCATGCTAGGAAAACCAACTGTTTGAGGCTATAAGGTGTCCTCGTGGCTGAAGAGAATTTTTGGAAGTATTCAACTTCACTTGTCATTTACGAAGTTCTCAGGGGAAAAAAAAAAAAAAAAGTTTTTTTCTTATGTTTCCATTTTTATGTTTGAAATATGCACAAATTCCCAGTGAGTCATCAATTCAAAACAAGTATTTCACAAGCTGTTTAAATGAAAAGATGTACCAACTACTAAACTGAATGCTATTGCTGCAAACCTGATGTAATTCCACTGAGAACGGATGAGTTGATTAACCTCTAGATATATTTCCACAATGTATTACCAAAGCATCGTTATTCCTTGCCAACAGCTGTTTATACAGAGAAATGTGACATTCATGCACTTTCCTAAAATGCAGTTTTTAGGATTAACCCCCAAAACAATATAAATGCAAGTCTCTGAGATGCACACAGGAGAAAGAGAGTCCAGTAAGACAAAAATCTTTCTGCAACAAAGCAAAACACATTCAACTAAAACAAAGAAACCTTCTGCACAAGGAGGATTGTAAATACTCCATAGCCTTGCTATTAGCAGACACTGCTCCCACTGACTGCAGCAGCAGGACTCTCCTCAGAAGGGCCAGTGAATTCCCTGAGCCACGGTGTATGAGTGAAGCAGACTCTCTGTGCCTCTTTGCCGTCCCTGTGCACCCAGCAGTCGCACAAGAGTGAACTCATGACCATGGCCAATTTGTAGGTGGCCTCCAAACACCACCTCCAGTGCAAAGGCAAATGGAAGAGGGAGGTAGGAAGCACACAGGATCCAGCCTGACCACTCTATGTCACCATGGCCTTGGAACAGCTCCACAGCTTTGCTCTGAATTCATAGCTGTGACTGGAGAGAATTTTGTCCCCTAGCTGTGTTGTTTGTTCTGGTGTTGAGAATGAGAAGCTTTTTAAATGATCCTCTGAGCCATCACCAAGATCTGATTGTACAGAATGAACACAGGATAACTGCTATCATAAGTGCTCACCATGGAAAATTCATATTTGAAACAAATCGAATTCCTAATCTAGCGAGTTAGCAGCTCCCTGTAAATGAAAAGGTGAGATACAGAGGCTGTACCTGCTCAGGAGCTACCTCCTCATGACAAACTGGCACAGCCTGCAGATACAGCACAACAGTGACTCATCCCATGCAGAGCCAACGGCTTGTCAGCTGTCTGGTTTGGTCTGCCTCTGGATTACAGCCTGATGGGAAAATCTCATCTAGAGAATGACGTAGATATTTGCTATTCAGAAAAGACAAGCAGACAGTGTCTATCACAAGCCAGTTGCATATGCAAAGATGAACACATCTGAATTAAGTTAAAGTCAGGCTCATGTAAAGATGCATTTAAAAAACAAAACAAAACAAAACAAAAAGTGTTTATTATGTTCGAAGTCTAGATTAACAGCACTAAACCGTCACTATGGTAGTCTGACGTTTTCCATTTCAGGGCCCTACTTTCAATTTTGTTAAACTTTGTCAAACGTTAGCAATTGGTGTTATCTTGGAAAATGTGACATGTCTATCGCAGACTGGGTATTTTCAAAAAAATTCAGTTTTGATACTTCAAGAGTATCTGAGAACAAGACATGCAAAAAAAGATGCTGTTTCTTCCTGATTGAAAACTTCTGTTTATCCTGTATTTATGTGATCTGGTTTCAGTATGCTTTGTAGCAGAGACTTAATAAATGTTGATTGCCTATTTGTACCTCTTTTGCCATCCCAGAGGATCTATACCTAAGTATGGACAAATTATAAATCATCAGTGATCAAATCACAACTTGCTCATTTTTAAAGCTCGTTTACAAGCACCTGCATCTTCTAACAGCAAGATTTTCAGTATTGCTGAGGAGCCCAAGGAGAGAGTCCTACCAGTAAGAAGTAATTCCAAGAGAGAGGACACATTTTGGGCTAGTTTCCATGTGTCAGCTAGTGAGTTGCACTGATGGAAAGTCAGCTCCTGCTCCTCTGAGGTTTCTCTGAGTCCCAAGCAGGACATGCACAGCTCAGGTCACAATATTTGTGTGCTCGCTGGGTTAGGAGGAAGGGGAGTATGGGACTGGCAAAGCAGCAGAGAGGACATGAGGCTGAACAGAGGAGAAAATTCACACCTTCTGGTCTGAAGGTGGCTGCTCTACTGAAAGCCACTAAAAAATAAAATCGCCCACAAAGGCATACACATCAATAAGCAAATCAAGTGGAGCTTCTGTTCTCACACAGAAGCTTCTGTTGCCTTTTCTCAAATGGATTTGACTGTGATTGGTGCATGCTATTTGCCTAGAAACAATAAGTAAATTTGAATATTTCTAATTGCCCAGGTGCAAGCCCAAAAGTCTGCATTGTACTGTAGGCTATTTTTACTGGTGGATGGGAAGTTGGTCATGAACCAGCAAAGTGCCCTTGTAGCCCAGAAAGCCAACCACCTCCTGGGCTGTATCAAAAAAAGCATGGCCAGCAGGGTGAGAGAGGTGATCCTGCTCCTCTACTCTGTGCTGGTGAGGCCTCACCTGGAGTACTGCATCCAGATGTGGAGTCCCCCACCCAGGAGAGACACAGACCTGTTGGGGCACATCCAGAGGAGGGCTGCAAAGATGATCTGAGGGATAGAAAACTCTCCTATGAGAACAGGCTGAGAGAGCTGGGGCTGTTCAATCTGGAAAAGGCTCCAGGGAGACCAAGTAGTGGGGGGCTGTAAGAAAGAAGGGGACAGGCTCTTTATCAAAGTCTGTTGTGAAAGGACAAGGGGAAATGGTTTCAAACTAAAGGAAGAGAGATTTATTTTGGAGAAAGTTTTTTACAGTAAGGGTGGTGAGGCAACAGAATAGGTTACTCAGAGAGGTGGTGGATGCCTCACCCGTGGAGAGACTCAAGGTCAGCATGGAGGGACTCCAAGCACCCTGATCTAGCTGTAGGTGTCTCTTTTCATTGCAGGGATGTTGGATCAGATGATCTTTAAAGGTTACTTCCAACTAAAATTATTCTATTATTCTGCTTCAACAGTTGCTTGCTGCTGCAGGAAGTAGCTGCACTGTGCATGAGTAAAGTGACACTGCAGTTCAGCCTGTACAGAAACTACCAGTCAAAGCCTGCACCCTTTCACGTACACCATTTGCTGCCTCATCTCAGGAAGACAAACCGAGGCAGTGTGACTTTTCACCAGAAGAGCTTTCTTCCTTCCTTTCTTCCCCCGTAGGCCATTTTGTTCTGAACTGCAGTCTTTACTGTTTCTCATTTCTGAACCCTGTAAACCTTGCTGTCCTGGGTGTCTACATGAACTAATGCCCAAATTGGAGCTTTGTGAAGGTCCCTTTTCTCCTGTCCGTTCTTTCTAACTTTCTCTATCCATGTGGTAATTCTACTGCTTCTATATATGTTTTTAGGTAGGTTATTCCATACCAGTTTTTTGAAGTTTCACTAAACATCTTTCTCATTTTCTGGGTGCATAAGAGGAGCTGATTTTTATAAGTAGCCAGCAATTACAGCTGCAACCAGTGATAATGATGCTTTGAATATATAAAGTATTTTTTGTAATATGAAATATTCTGGCATCTTAATTAGCGTCTACTGTAAACATCAGTTTATTTGCACTTCATCTCCTATTCTACATGAGAGGATAGACTTTACTCCCTTGTTTATGGAAGTGCTACTATGGCAAATGTTCATTTGATATCAAGATACCATCTAATGCTAAGCATTAGAAAATCAAGTAGAGTTATGGTTTGCAGCCTTAGTGAAAGAAGAGCAATGGCGTATTAGAAAATACTCAGCAGAAAACAACTGGCACTGTAAAAATCCCTTGGTAAAACCCAAGTGTAATTACAACCAGTAAGTGTTGTAGGAAACCCAACTGAGAGAGTTTGCATGTCTACTTTTCATTTAGTCTAATGCTGCACTTGGAAGAATCCCTTCAAGCAGAGGCTTGAATGTTAATGTGAATAAAGAATTCAAAATGTCTAGTGTAACATTAAAGATCAGGAAGTCTTCAGCAAAATGAATTTTTAAGCCTGTTGCTTACCAATATGAATGATCAGACTGAAGCTTTTTATTTGTTTATGACTCCAGCTCTTATAAATAAAGCCATCTGATACTCTCAAGGTACAGCTAAATGACATCTGTTATGAAAGGCACCACACATGTACTTTCACCTGCCAAAGCTTTCTATCTTTCAGGCTAGCTACCAGGAAGTACATCATTATCCATTAATGGCTAGACTTCAACAGCTTGCTATTCCATTTTATATCACAGTGTCAAACGTGTGATTTCTGCTTGGACACACAATTATTTTTTCAAACTGTAAGTTTCAATGAATGAATTATAAAGAGCTTTGGGGGTTGGAACTACATGATCCTTGGGGTCCCTTCCAACCCGGGTGATTCTGTGATTCTGTGATTTCACAAATTGAAATCACAGAAATATTCTGAGAAACACACAATGATCATTGAGCCCAACCCCTGGCTCTGGATATAACCATCCAAAATTCAAACCTTATGTCTGAGAGAGGTGCCCAAATGCTACTTGAACTATATGGAGCTTTATGAACCATTATTTATAAGAACTGCCCTGGTTAGAAACCAGAACCTCCAACCCTGGCCAGACCCAGTCAGGTGATGTGAGGGTTACCTTGAAGCATGAACTGAAAAGAGAGCTCAACTATCTGAAATCAAAATTAAAACTAGCTGAAATCAAAATTAAATGCAGGAAGTCTCTGACTCCGCAGGCACATGATCAGCAGACGTGAACTGATGTACCAACATTGATTTTAGTAGTAGTATAGTAACTTCACTGTCCCCATTTGTCCTTACCAGACCTCAGTGAAAAGTTCATTAGTTTAAGATATTTGGCTCTTAGTGCAGACAAACTGAAAGTAGGAGAGACAGGCATTAGATATCAACAATTAGATAAAGCAGAACTGAATGCTGTTTAGAGAACTTAGGACAATCTCCAACAAGGACTGGAGAGTATATCCTAAAAAACATCTAAGTAAAATAGCAAGGATGTAGGCCAAAAGTTCATTTTATTATTTGTGCTCAACAAATAATGCCTGCTGAAATAACAGCAGGCACTTTACTTTCCACAGGGTCTAGACAAACCTGCCGTGAGAAAGATAAGCCTGGGAATAAATAATAAGCTGAATGTCTACCGTTTGTTCAATCCTGTCTGTATTCCTCTCCAGCTTTAGAAAGATTTTTATCAATTCCGTGTCCATTTGGAGTGCACACAATACTCAGGATTTAGAGAACCAGCAACCAGTAAAGTGACTTCTCTTTTGAGAATGACACTGATAATCCCTAAAATGACCCCAGATTCTTCCTTTGTGTGTGTGGAAGGGGAAGGATGGGAAAAGAATTAAAAAGTAATCCTATTGATACCAACCACTGAAAAAAACAAGCTTTAATCAAGAGATTTGACTGTGGCAAGAAAAACAAAACTCAAATTACATCCACATGCTGCTCTTGGCTGCTCTTCTTTTCATTATACAAGCCTGGCAGTTGACTCCAGTGAAAACCAAGAGACCTATGTTGTCATCAGAATGACAACACAAACCTTCAAAACCAGCACGTTTGTACTTGTTTGCCCTTCCCAAACTGCTGCCCAATACAAACCAGGTAAGAGGCCCCTGGAGTGTACTAGACTGGCTTGGGGAGCAGGGATGAGCTCCCACTCATCAGCATGGCCTTCTGTGTCTTGAAATTCGGGACCCCATACCTGTTACACAACCAATAGCCATGTAGGATTAGTACTGCCACTGGGAAGTCATACTCTCTCTTGACCAAGATTTGTTTGATGGCTGTTCCAGGTTACAACCACAAGTCAGGCAAGAAAAGGGTGAGGTGCTGGACGAGCCACTGGAAAGCACAACCTTGAGGCCCTGCATGTTTGAATAACTGCTCCCAAATTGCATGGCCCCTCCTCTGGTTATAAGCTCAGCTGTTTTCTTTCCAGGATGAAACAAAGCCTCAAAGAAGTCTCCAAACCTGGGTACTGAGAAGCAACAGCACAAAGAAAACAGAACTCGTATGGTTAAAAAAAATTTTGGATAATGAATGTTGGTGAGCTTGAGGTGGGAAGCCACGGAGTGTTTATGTGCCACATTTAGGGCAAATGGATGCTAAACACGGTGCATGCCGCATGCCAGGGATGTGAAGAACAATACATGTAAAAGACTGTGGGATTAATGTTAAAGCAGGGATCACACTAAGGCATATGTGGTCAAACAAGGCCTGTTTGCTGCAAAACATGGTAGATACAAGCCAGCCCAGGGCTACCAAGTGTCATGTGCCATCACTAGAAGTCCCAGATAATGCACATTTCTTACACTACATGTATGGTTAAAACATTGCCACTTCCTACATTTTCACAGTTTTGAAGAAATTTTCCAAATATCCAGAGGAATGATGTACTACACTTATAAGGTAAGTGTGATCTGAAATGCATTGGACCTAGCATGTGTATGCCACACATGCAAAGCAGTGCAGGACCGTAGAACTGAAGGTTCTTTATGGAGCAGACTCACTGACTGTGTGGATCATGAAAAACTGCATGGAGATTGCACCTAAAACCATTTCAAATCTGTTTTTTGTTTCATAGTACAGTAGCTTGGTCAGAATGGCTGAGTCCCACTGAATATTAGGAAGGCCTTGGTGAATGGCACATAAAGTTGAGGGACACAGACATTTAGTGCTCCTCTAGTCTGAAAAACAGGAAGAGCCAGAAGGGACAGAGAAACTTCTTTGGGGAAGATTCATTTGGCAGAAAGGTGGCCAAATACACATTCCACACATCTCAGCATCAGTCTTATGACTAGGATTATTCTGGCAACCTATGTTATATTTTTGAAAAGTATAATAATTTCTAATCAGAGTTTTCATATGACAGAATATAACAAATGCACTGGCTCAAGCACTAGTACAGTAGTGTACTGTTGATCTAGGTCCACAATAGAGTGACCACTGATCTTCTAAATAAACTCATCTGCCCCAGCTACTAAGCAGAAGAATAAGATTGAAGGATATGAATGATACAGGATAACTGTTACAAATCATGAGAAGCTTATGGATCACTGTGGGAAATTCTCATCCTGCCTATGCTGATTGATTAACATTTAGGGAGTTACATCACAGGAAGCTTCGCAGGGGATGAGGCAGGTCCTTTTCATAACACCTCCCAAAAAGCGTCACTGTTAAGAGTGGTTTTGATGTGCCATTCTTACTTTGCAGACGTCCATCAGACAGTACCTAGTTGAATAGAGAAAGGATGATACTAATATCCAATAACAGAGTAACACTACTTCATGGTACAGAGAGGATAAGTCTCTGAGGTCAAATAACTTGATGCAGTACTTTTTAAAGACAATCACAAGAATTAAAAGAATGTGAATCTTCTATCTTGCACATGGAAATACTCTTGCACTTCAGGCACTGGAATAGAGCTCAGACAATCAAAATGTCATGCTGCAATTGCCCTCCCACATTTCCAGAAAGTCTTCAGAACTCCCTCCAGCTCCATTTTTGTAATAAAGATCATTTCTCCATCTCTTCAGAATGTGAGAAGGGCAGTAACTGTTTTGTATGTTCTCGTTAGTTATTCACACATAGTGATGCAGGCTATATACCTGACCAGGGCAGCAAATTTTTGTTTGCTTGTTTTAAATTGTAGCCCACTAAATCATTTTCAGATGAAAGTAAAGAGGAGTGAAGTCTAATAGCCAAATGTTGCTTTGCTTAGTTACTTTCTACAGGTCAAATTCTCATCACTGTTCTGTGTAGACTATGAATATCTACAAACAGCTCCAAAGTGTGCCATTACCTCAAATTCCCCAGGGGCCAACTGCACACCGCTGTACAAGACTTCTGGAAAGACGTAGTTAGTGCCAAACGTGCCACTGAGGGAGAACATGGCAAACTTGGTCTGTGCAGTCTCTGCTGGCTGTCCACACGTTCTCAGGTCTGTGCTCTTACACTTGAGCAGGGTGCATATCTGTGGGGAAGAGGACACAGAAAAGTAAAATACAGTAAGCTTTCATACTCAAGAGCTGTGTTTAATAACAAGAAAACTTCTTCTGATGCAAAAACAAATGAATGTTTTGGAATTTTTCATTCATTTTGGCATATAGTTACACTAATTCTTGTTGAACAAATTACCTGCCAATGGTATTTTATGACAGAGCCATGAAGCCCATCAAATGCACCCAGTACATAAACTTCATCTTCACTTTTATTTGACATCCGATAGGTCAAATGACAGCAGAGGTCTTTTTGACAGACTGTGTGATTTCCAGCTTTGTGCTTGAGTTCACTGAAAGTGAATATATCCCGCCGGACAGCTCCTGAAAAGGTCTTATTTTCTCCTGAATAGTTTTTGACACTTGTAGCATATGAGCTCCAGTTGACTGCAGCAGGATAGTTAGGAGAAAGACGAGGTCGTGCGCTGAGCTCTGCTACCAGGAGACGTCCCTCCTTTGTCTTGCTGTTGTAGTAGTACATGGCCGGCCCTTGGGGTGTGAACAGCCCGCTGCCTGCAAACAACATGCATGGAACCCAGGGTCACCGCCACCTGATGAGTGAACCACCACGGGTGCCTCATGAGCGTACTGTGTGTAAACATGAGTGTAATCAATGAATATTAAGATGTTACAATTACAAAATAAACAAGAATGTTAGGCAAAGCAGATTACAAAAAGAGAATAGATAGAAAGCTTACCCATATCTTGGGCTCACTTACAAAACTCCAGGAGAGTGGATCTCCAGAGGAGATCCTTCTCCACTGGTAGTCAGCTCTTAAATGGGTCTAGGAGAGATGGAGCCAGGCTCCACCCCTTCCGGCAGCACAGGTGAATTGCCTTCACCTGTGCTCCTGTGGCTGACTCATTGCTTGCCTTAGGTGATCAATCACAGGTTCAGGCCGTGACTCAGCAGTTCCCGTACCACATGAAGCAGTCTTCAGTCAATATATTAACCAGAATTGTGAAAGAATTTTAAAGCAGAGAGTCGCTAAAGTACACTTCACAGTGTAAAAAAAAATGACCTAAAATTCAGAGAAGCACCTTTTTGTGCTTCACTGGATCTTGAATATGAGCCTCCAAAGGCAATTTCACACAAGGTCATGCTTTTTAAGAAGAAAAAAACTTTATTAAAACTATTATAAAGCTATTAATTTTTATATAAATTAGTGCTCTGCAAGAAACATATTTGCCAAAGAAGGTGTCCCGGGGCATAATTACTTTTCAAAGAAGGAAACATAAAGCTGTGGATAAAACTCAGTGCACTTAGGACAGACAAAAATGTTCCTTTGTGGCTTTCATTTCTGCTTTGGAGAATAGTTACAGATAATGGCAACTATGGAAATGTTTTGTCAGCTTACAGAAAAAAAATCGCAGTAGCTATCTGTTCAGCTCAAGCCAAAACATACCATTTCTAATTCTTGAGCAGCAACAGAAACCTGAATTTTTTTATTCAACACAAAGCAGAAATACTTTTTCGTTTTTAGCTCTGTTTAAAATACTTTTTTCTCCATTTGATTTTTGAGTAAGTTCTAAACAGAAAAATTCTGCTTCTAAGAAAGAGGGTGAATATTTAGCTGAATGTTTGTGCCATCCATCCAATACAACACAAAGAATATTTTTACTCTTCTTGACATACTAGTTTCCAGAGACTTCATGATTTTTAATTTTTTCCCAGTTCTGAATCCTGTAGAAGAAGACAATTCCTCCTTACAAAAAGCAACTCACCTGTCATAGACATGATGGTGTTGTGAGTATTTGCTGACAGTAAATTCACTCCCATGCCCATAGCCCATGCAGAGTGAAACTCCACAGCAGTCAGAAAGGGCAAGACATTCATCCAGGCTGTTGGGAAAAGCACCGTGTCCACCTGTAGCTCACTCACCAGCACCACGGCGGGCTCCCGGAAAAGGATGTCAAAGCAAGTGAAAATGCCAAACTTCCCAAAGGGAGTCTCAAAGGTGATGAACTCTGGCTCTTTTGGGTAATTAAACTGAGTTTCTTGTCTAAACAGGTTGTACTGCAGGCAAAGAAAAAGACATATTAGGAAATAAAAATAAGGCAAGATTACAGAATGCCACTTTAGTGTCTGAGATTAAAGCAAAACTGACAGTTGAGTTTCCTTCAGGTCAAGGTGGGCATCCTGACTCAAATGTCATTGGACATCTCCTTCATAGTCATTGGAGATCTCCTGAAAAGGCTCAGTGAAGATAGGGAGCAAAAGTAAGTAAGATCCTCATCCCAGAGGTCTACTGAGAAAGGACGGACTTTGTTCCTTCTGCCTACTGGCAGCAGTGTCAAGCCAGGGCTTTCTGCTACCTGCTGCCAAGACATCACTTGGGAAAAGTCTGACCTGTTCAAAACTACGCCAAAGACTATCTAACTGAATGAGATGATGACTGAATACATCACTCTTCATTCTAGTTTGCTATCGCTAATGTAGCCTTGAGCTGTTTGATAGCATGCCTTCTGCAGCCATAGTGTTCATGAGAATAGCTCTTAAATATTGCCAAGTGCTTGTCTGCTCTTTCCTCTAGCTGCAGGAGCCCTCCATTGGATTGTCCTGGGCTGACTGTCATTCTACAATAATCTAATTCTATAAACCTTCTGAAATTTGTGCCCTAGAGATTAAAAGTATTTTGACAGTTAGTTACAGTGTGATGACAAAGCTTTTCTTTACCTTGTGGTAACGAGCCACCAGTTTCCCTTCTGTGTCAAAGACAACGTCAGTGTTGTACTGGTAGCGCCCGTCACTCGGGCACTTGGGATCACTGGAATTACATGGCTTCTTGTCCCCGATATTTGCAACTACATAGATGGAGTTGTTCCTGGCCATGCAGCTGAGTCGCTCCTGCACTGGTGCTCGACCAAATCTAAGAGATTTTTGACAAAAAGGAAAAACAATTATAGAATCAGAGAATGGCTTGGGTTGGAAGGGGCCATAAAGATACCTAGCTGTGGACATACAAAGCTATGGATAATTTTAGAAACCAAATGAGAGAATAAGCCAGTATACAGATAGAAACTTAAAACAAACATTAATTTTTAGGGAAATCTAATTCTCAACTTCAAAAGACCTTTTATTAAGACTCTTCACTCTGTTTAAGGCTGTAAGTCATTGGGAAAGAGTGGTCACAACTTTTACAGACCTTTTGACTCTTGAAATCTCCCTTAATAAACTCCCAGAATAGAAGAACACAAAAGCTTGGCTTAGAGATAACCCTGGTCCCTTTTGTGTCCCTCCAGCTCCACCTTTGTAAGACAGACATTCACAGTAGCCCAGTATGCCACAACAGACTGTGCAAGCAGTTAGATCTCTAAAAGGCAGTTATTTCAGATCTAGAGAAATATTTTATGCAATTTGATTTAGAAATCACCCCAGACACGTGAGCTGAGTTCCGAATCATCTTGTTTCATCTCTGCTGAAGCCATGATAATTTACTAGCTTACAGTAAGAGAAGCAACAGAAGATTTTCCTCAAGCAGTCTGAAGTGATAAGCTTTTTGCATGTTCTCAAAATAACGATGCTGCCAAAATTTCCTCATTTTCCTCCTTTTTTAATTTTCAAAATTAAGGCAGACTCAAATGCTTTTTACCTTACACGTTCTAACTACCATTTACATAAGGGTTCTTTCTGATGCATTACATTTATACAGTCGATTTTTGAGAGATTTTAAAAATCAGCAGTTCTTAGGAGCAACTCATGACTCCATGTGGCACCAGTTTGAAACCACACAAACACCACAGAAAGAATCACCTTGTGGAATCAGTGCAGGGAATCCAGTTCACCTCTGGATCAGGAATATCCTCCAGGTAGGGGTAAATGGTGTCCCTCGTGAAAACCCAGCCATAAATGCCATCCTCGGGAGTCACAATGATGCGGGCACCCTGACACAACAGGCTCCATTAAGAAGGCACCACCGAGACGGTCAGAGGGAACAGAAAACACCAATTAACAATACTCATAATCCATTTCATACCTGCTGCGCTGCTTCCTTGATAGCTCCTTCCAGAACATCCATGTTTCTGTTCATCAGGGCCAAAGCATCATCGGGAGAAACCTTGTGAATGGTGCGTGGCAGGATGACGGCGTGCTCATACACGGCTGCAATGAAGGTGTCCAAGGCCAGGGCCTGCAGGACTGCCAGGGCAAGCACTGCAGCACGTACCAGGATCTGGGAAGGGAGCATGGCTACTGCCTTGTTGCTACTAGTGCGCGCATAGGAATATAAAGCAGATAGGAGGAGGAGGAGTAAAGATTGTAACAAGCTTGTTTTGGAAGTAAGCTCCTATTGCATAAGATGAGGAAGTACAATCTGTACACACTGCAGTACAAACTAACCCTTGAATTGTTCTCACCTTTCTGCCTAGAGCTAAAATATTCACTTGTTCTGTGAAAATAAATTAACATACAATTTTTTATTTTTGCTATTTTATTAAAAGCACGTTTTTGCACAATGAGCAATTTCAAACTGATCATACAAAACAATTTTTATTCCTCACGAAGAGCAATGTTTTGCAGAATATTTTGGAAAGGCACATTTCTACTATAGCTCCAAATGCTTCATAAAAATTCTGATGTTCCAACTTGAGGTATGTCTCTGAGGAAGGAAAGTAATCTTGCTATTCATACAGACTGCTCAGCAAGGCATCAAGGAATAGACTCGCCACCCTGACAGTATCTTCCTTTTCACTGTGCAGTTCCACTCAGAACTCTTATTTTTGCCCAGCAACAAGGTCTCATCAGGAGAAGCAGGCATTTCTCTGTCCTCCGACAAGTGCACATTGTGCTTGTAGGCAGCTGCAATGTAGCTGGCCAGGGAGCAGACAGCACCAAAACCACAGCAGAGACGTGAGCCCTCAAAAGCCCCATACCTGAAACCTGAAGTCACCCAGGAGGACAGGGGTAAGGAAAGACAGAGAACTTTAATAAGGAAGGTCTTGCAGAAATCTGTGAATTCCCCAAGTTCTAGGAAGCCGACACCGTTTCCTGAAACTCTCAGAACATCAAAGGCTAGAGAGCTGTGAGCATTGAGCAATCCTGCTGGCTGTGCTGCAGCTGAAAAAACATATCGCCTGTCAGATGAATGAACTATTCAGGCATGGCATTCAAAGCAAACCCAGATTGCAGGAGTTTGGGAAATGACAGCAGAGCCCGGAACTGACACATTCCTGGACACATTCCTGCTGGGTGCAGGCACGGCCACAGGCCATCAGTGCTGCCATCTGAGCACAGCCCAGCTGCTCCCGGCTCAGGGCCACCTTGCAGCAGGGATGCCAGCCTGGGCAGGCCTGCACACTGCTTACTGACTGAGCTCTGAGGATCTCTCTTCCCTAGAAAAGAGATCTCTGCTAGAGAAGAGTCACGCCTGGGAGCCGTAACTTCTACATTTTGCCTGTTGCACCCTGCTATGGTGAGATCTACAGACCATCCTGTAGGAAATCTTGAAGATTAAGTTACACGTGCACATAAGTCCCTTGTATCTGGGTGCTGCGGTTTCTTACCTCCTTTGTTTCTGAATTAGCTGTCAGGCATAGAAATTGAAGTCAATAGAAATCAAAACAATTGTTTTGATACACTGACCTGGAAGAACAGTTTATTGTAGTCATCTTCATGCGTAGTGAGTTGGTATGCATATGAATGGGTAGATTTGCAGAGGATTTCATTCTGTAGGCCTGCCTCACTTGGCACAGCAACATATTTCACGATTGTAATTGCTATGCACGAACAAAAAGAATTTAATGGTTTATTCCAATCTTCTGTCAGAAAGTATTTGACATAGAAATGTATTTAGCCAGACAGCAACAGCCTAGAATCAAATCCAGAATACAAGGCACTTGCCTGTGTCTTAGCTAATGGACTTGTATCAGCAGAGAGAAGCCCTGAAGGAACTGCCTTCCAGACTTGCCCCACAGTCCTGGATTCCTGTTGCACTGCAAGATGAAACCTCCTTGCACACCATTGCATCCTTTAAATCCAGGCCCTTCCCCGGGAGAGAGCTGCAAACGTGACCCAGGTTTCCAGGGGACAAAAACAGAGTATGCATTATTTGTCCACCTGGGAAGCGGATGAGGCTGAATAATCCCTTGCCAGATTGAGATCTGTCTGCAGTCAGGCAACCTCTGACTCTAAAAGTGAACAAGACTTTTACAGAGGGTGGCTCCAGCAGCACGGATGCTGAGATTCCATGAGTCAGAGGATGCGGCGCAGGGGTGGGGCTGGGAAGATGGTTTCTGATAAGCACATCTACACTATTATGTCATATCACATGTGAATATTTATTTGCATTTAAAAGCGTAAGGGTTCACACAGCACTCATCAATGATAATCAGTGTTGGAGTCTGGATAGTATTTGCATTTCTGACTTCTCACCATCTCCATAACCGAAGAACCAGGAATGGTGCCTAGTTTGAGGAAAAAAGAAAGAGGTATTGGGACTAGCAGGGGCGCCTGACCCTTTTAAAAGACATAGCCATAGGGAGAGATGCACAAAGAGAGACAGAGCGATACACTGAAGGAAGGTTACAAGGGTCCTGCAGCAGCAGCAAGGCACAGGTCACTAAGGAAAAAGAAGCAAAGACATAAACAGACCCTTCTCATGGAGTAGCTGATCTCCCAGTCCCAACAGTAAATGAATTTGCAGGGCAGCACCACCCAGCAATTTCATGAAGCAGCAAAGAAGGCTTGTTTCACATACTCCAGCATTACGTGACCGGAAAGAAATCGAGAAGAGGGGAGGAAGAAGCTGTTACATGAAACTAGGCACTTGGTGACCTCATTAGTGGCTACAGACATCTCCAGCACTGCATACGGTACAATCAGCAGCCCTTAACAAACTCTTGTTCAGAGCTAGCAAGCAGAATATACCAAGATTTCAGTCTCAAGTTATTCAACAGAGATTTCAGAGAAGTGATCATTCAAAGGCAGCTGTGTACAAAAAGAGGCATCAGGCTTTGGTTCAGAGTTGACATGTTGACTGAAATTCCTGCTCTGTCTTCACAATGGACTGTCCTGTGCTGCAACGTACCAACAATGTGTGTTGACAACATAAAAAACAACAAAACCAAAACAGCACAAATAGGAGAAAAAAATCACGTGTAACTGTGGTTAAAAAAAAAAAAGACCTGTATAAGTCAGCATTAGTAATTGCACACCAGAGAAATATAATTATTGAGCTTTTTTTTTCGTAGAAAGCTGCCATTTATCATATTTCTTACTGCTTTATCTATTGGTCTCAAAATAATTTGCAATTATAAAATTTGCAAAGTTATTTTAAGAAGAAGTTATCCTCTGGCCAAAAATATAGGTTTTCTGAGGGCTAGAAAATTCAAAATACAGAAAACAGAGGGAAATACAACTACTAATTTGTATTAATAAAAGACTACTAATATTGTAATATAGAAATAGTTCTTAATAAATGGTATCAATAAAGTAACTGCATTTTTATTAATTGGAACGCATTAAAAAGTTTGTGCAACAGGAAGAATCATAGAATCATAGAATCACCAAGGTTGGAAAAGACCTTCAAGATCATCCAGTCCAACCGTTCACCTATTCCCAGTAGCTCCCACTAAACCATGTCCCTCAACACAACATCCAGCCTTTCCTTGAACACCCCCAGGGTCGGTGATTCCACCACCTCCCTGGGCAGTCCATTCCAGTGCCTGACCACCCTTTCTGAAAAGTAATACTCCCTAATGTCCAGCCTGAATCTCCCCTGCTGTAGCTTGAAACCATTCCCTCTGATCCTATCACTAGAAACATAATCCTGATTATTTTGGTAGAGAATAATGCAGCTCATTTAGACATGGGATTGTTAGTGTACACCTTCAGTTATGGTAACATCATAGGGAGGCAGTCGGTTGTGGATCTTGTTTCAGAGAATCCTTTTCATACCACCGTCCAAAAAGCGTCACAGTGACAACTGGTTTTGTTGGTGTGGACTTACTTATCAAACGCCCATCCTTCAGTACCTGATTGGAAAAAGTAACAGAAGGATATAGTTAGAGAAATACTAATATGAACAGCTGAAGAGCTCAGAAAGATGTCACAAAACAAGAAGGTACATCAGACCATACCACTTACATTAACTACTGACTTCATTAAATGGTATTAAATACGTTTGATTATCACTACAAGAGTTCACTTTGTTGTGACATAGTTTATGCCATTATTAGTCCACAGAGAATCTAGCATGAATCAGCTCCAAAGTGTACCATTACCTCAAATTCCCCAGGGGCCAGCTGCACACCGCTGTACAAGACTTCTGGAAAGACGTAGTTAGTGCCAAATGTGCCACTGAGAGAGAACATGGCAAATTTGGTCTGTGCAGTTTCCACTGGCTCCCCACACGTGCTCAGGTCCGTGCTCTTACATTTGAGCAGTGTGCATATCTGTCAGGAAGGCAAAAAGGAAACATACTGAGCAAAAGGGAAACACTCAGTTATGAAAGCCTTGTGTCATTAAACTTGGTATGCATTGGAGTAGATGACTGTCACAGAATCTCTTCCATAGCTTATTCATTCACCCCTTGACCTAATTGAAAGGTATACCAGACTTGCACTTTAATAGTTAGAAATAACCTCAGTTTCTGATGTAAGCACTGCCAGAGCACCTTACTTTGTCCCTGCAGACCAGTGGGACTTCCACTAATTCTTCCAGCTTCCAATTCTCTTGTTTAAAGATTCCCTTCTCACAAGTCTTAATAACACTTAACAAGTTTGTGAATGGAAATTTTGTACAAATGAAACAAAGCTCTCCTCCTCAAAGGTACATTGTGCAACTGCACACATTAATGGTAGGTGTACATGTTGCTAATGATACTTCAGTAGGAGGGCTGGTAGTCCATGGGAATTCTGAATTAGATATTCTCCATCCAGCTTCTGTTGAATACTGTAGAATCGCATTGAATCACATGTCTACATGTCTACTGGGCCCACCAGTGCAGGAGACCTAGATGTGCTGGGAAGAATTCAATGTAGGGTCATCAAGATGATGAAAGGACTGAAGGAACTTTCCTATGATGAAAGGCTGAGAGAATTGGAACTGGCCATCCTGGACAAGAGGAAGCTCAAGGGAAATCTCATCAATGTCTATAAATAAAAGAAAGTGCAAAGAATATGGATCAAGCCTCTTCAGTGGTGTCCAGTGCCAGGAAAAGAGGCAATGGGTACAAGCTAGAACATAAGAGGTTGCATCAGAACATCAAGAAGAACTTCTTTACTGTACAGGTGATGGAGTACTGGAACAGGATGCCCATGGAGGTTGTGGAGTCTACACCTCTTTAGAGATCTTCAAAACCAGCTGGACATCTTAAGAGAAGAGGAGAATGAGAATTTGTGGTAGCCAACAGCTTCCTCAACAAAGGGAGAGGAGAGACAGGCACTGATCTCTGCTCTCTGGTGACAATGATAGAACTCGAGGGGATATTATGAAGCTGTGTCAGGGGAGGGTCAGGCTGAGAAAAAGTTCTTCACTTAGAGAGCAGTTGAGTACTGGCACAGGCTCCCCAGGGCACTGGTGATGGCCCCAAGCTGCCAGAGTTCAAGCAGCGTTTGGAAAATGCTCTCAGCCATTGAGTTTGAATTTTGGGTGGTTCTGTGTGGAGCCAGGAGTTGGACTCAGTGACTCCTGTGGGCCCCTTCCAGCTTGAGATATTCTATGATCCTATGTTTCTATGATATGCTCCTGGGCAACCTCCTCCAAGCGGCCATGCTTGAGCAGGGGGCTAAGACCAGGTGACCTTCAGAGGTACCTTTCAATCTCAACCACACCATGATTCTGTAATACATGACCATGTAGTGAAGTCAGCATCCTTTGTCACAGTTTTGTATTAGCAGCTGCAGCACAGAAAGTAAAGTAAGAAAGGTTAATGCTTTCCTTTTGTCCTTACAGTTAGCTCTCCAGCTTAAAGCTAATCGATGTTTATGGACACTATGAAGAAAAGTGAAATAGGACTAGTGATGCCTCAAAGAATTATTACCTGCAGATAGTACTGTCCTTCAACAACATGAAGCCCATCGAAAGCACCCAGCACATAAACTTCATCTTCTTGTTTCTCTGCCATCTTATAGCTCAAGTGGCAGCGGAGGTCTTTCTGGCAAACGGTGACATTCCCCTCAGGCTTAGAGAGCTCAGTGAAAGTGAACCGATCATGAAAGATAAGTCCGCTGAAATCATTTTCATCTGGTAAGCAGCTTCCTACATTTGAAGCATATGAGCTCCAGCTGACAGCAGAAGGGAAGGCAGTAGAAAGGCGAGGGTGTGAATCCAGTTCAGCAATGAGGAGATGCCCATCCTCAGTTTTCATATTGTAGTAATATGCTCTGGCTCCATCTGGTGCATAAATACCGCTCCCTGTGGAGAGTGGAATTTTTAATCTAAAATAGTTCAAACATTTCATATTGCCCTTTCAATTATTTTCATTGCTAGCTTGTCCAGTATTGTATAAACGTTACAGAATTCTCGCTAAATGTAACCATTAGCCACTCAGTACTCAGAGATCAGACTTTGGAAAAAGGTAGCATTTGTTTCACTGCATGAGGTCTGTCTGATGTAGCTGAAAGGCAGAGTGTCACCTTATGGTACTGCATTTAGCACCCCTCAGTTCTCTTCTGCATGCAGCAGAGTCACTTGAACATTCCTTCATTCTTGGCAAGTCGATGTAAAAAGATTAACCACTGAGTGAAACCACTCAAAACACCATATAGACCAATATCATAAGCCCATTCTCATGAGCACCAAAAGGGATAGCATCTGTCCAGCCCAGTTTATACCAGATGAAGACTCCTCCATACATGGGAAATTCACATCTGACGAGTCCTAAGTGATGGAGAAAAATCAAAGAAAATCTGTAATGCTAATCACTGAGGAACTCAGGTAGAAGTGGTAGTACTTCACAATTTGTTTGGAAACAAAGAAAGAAAGAGAACTCCCAGGAAGCTAAGGAAAAGAAAAGAAAGCATCACAAGTTTGGTTGGGTCTTATATGGAGCGGTAGGGAAAGAGTTTACAAAGTTTAAAATTCAGAGACTAAATCCTTCCAGACAAACACATAATATTCCTTTGCATTATGTTCTTTGCAGAACAGGGAATTAAGATTCATAATTAAAAAGATTTTTCAAAGGAATTAAAATGAATTACCTGTCATAGACATGGTGGTGTTGTGAGTATTGGAAGCTAGGAAGTTGACTCCCATGCCCATAGCCCATGCAGAGTGAAACTCCACAGCAGTCAGAAAGGGCAAGACATTCATCCAGGCTGTTGGGAAAAGCACCGTGTCCACCTGTAGCTCGTTCACCAGCACCACGGCGGGCTTCCAGAAAAGGATGTCAAAGCAAGTGAAAATGCCAAACTTCCCAAAGGGAGTCTCAAAGGTGATGACTTCTGGCTCTTTTGGGTAATTAAACTGATTTGCTTCTGACATAAACAGATTATACTGCAAGGGAAAGAATAGTAAGAGAAACCAGTTAAAGGTACCTGATGCAGAAACTTGGAGTCATTTTGCAAAACTGTTCAGAATGACCAGAGAAAGTTTTTAATCAATGTTAGAATGCTTCACATGTAGGAAGTCAAGCTGGAATACAACGATCACCATAGCGCCCCAAAGATGGATATGGAGAAATATATGTTGCCTTGGCACCTAACTAGAAAAAAAATCTGGCTATCTGCTACTCTGTATGTGTCAGCCACCCACAAGCTCCCATAAAAATAATCTCTTCACCTAAGTTTAAAATACTGCTGAATCCAAAGACACACTTCAGAGAAATAATAATGGAAGAGAATCTCAGAGCAACTGATGGGTTGGTGATCTCAATGTGGAGATGCATGTATGAACAGGAAGCACAGCAGTATCAAGAGGAAGCACAGGACAGCACAGCAAAAAACAGAGAAGTTAGAGGCTGTGGTGACAGGGAAGAGGTATATGATTTCAACTGACAGAAGAATCCAAGTGTATGACCCTTTCAGCTCTGCAGCATTTTCATTCGTCCTTTGGGTTCCTCTTAAATAAGGGAGCCCTTTAATATACAAGCAACTTAGAGAATAAACACAGGTAAACGAGCCAGAAAATGAGTTCAAATTTACTGAACTTGGCTCTTAGCTCCTGCACCATGCCTAGCTGGCACACAGAGTTCAGCCTCAGTATTGGCAGTGTCTCTCTGACCCAGTATGCTCACAAGCAAGTATCTTGGCATTGCCTGCAAAGAATTAGTTGAAGTACTGGGTTCAAAGAACATTAAGTAAACAACTGACTTCAGTCTAGCCACAGCAGCATGACATCTGGCACCCTGCCCCCAAACAATTTAGAAGAACCTCATAAGAAAATACATAGAACTGAAAACATATGCTTTCATGAGGTGCAAATGATTCAGTGTAGTCTTCTCATTTTACATTCAGCACAGGTTTATAATTCCAGTTATACAAAAACTGTGCTGAAAATGTGCTTAAACATCACGTCAAAAAAAATAATAGGAAAGGGCTTTTTTTCCTTAAATCAGACTGTGCACATAAGATGGCATGCAAATGAACATTTTAAAATGCTGGAACATGAAGGAGTAGTCTGGTGAAAAGCTGGCACTGAAAACTAGAGCTGTTCAAGCAGCAGGGTTTTCACTAAAGTAGTTAACAAACTGACGCAGTGAATCAACTAACATGGGAACTGTGCAATCACTCAGTTTTCATTCTAGTCTGTTTTTAGAAACAGGACAGCAAATACAAACAGTGTCAACACTTCACAGCAGCAGAAAGATTCTATTAAATTAAAAGCAAAAATCCATAAGAGATAAGTATGTGTCATGGGACAATTTACTGGCATTAAACTGCCTTGTCAAATAGAGACATTTTGGAAGGTTTGGTAGGCCACTTCTTACCTTGTGGTAACGAGCCACCAGTTTCCCTTCTGTGTCAAAGACAACGTCAGTGTTGTACTGGTAGCGCCCGTCACTCGGGCACTTGGGATCACTGGAATTACATGGCTTCTTGTCCCCGATATTTGCAACTACATAGATGGAGTTGTTCCTGGCCATGCAGCTGAGTCGTTCCTGCACTGGTGCTCGACCAAATCTAACAAGTTTCAGACCAGAAAAAAAGAAAAAAATACTTAAGAAAATACATAGTGCCGGTGGTGTCCATCATAGGAGCACTGAGGGCACACAGGCAGCACCTCTGTCCCAGCTGTCATGGCAGGACAGGCAAACATAAAGGGTGGCTGTACAGCAGGACTGTCATGCCAGATACATAGATAGTACAGAGGAATAGGGCACTGAAAGACTGTGATGGCAGGCACTACAGTCCAGCAAGGATGCTAATGAAAATCCTGACTTAAGACAATGAAGAGATACAAATCACCTTCACAAAACTTAACTGTGTAAAGAACTGGAGTAAAGATGTGCTTAGACTTGTTGCCATCACCCCACACCACAGTCATTGAAAAAGACTCCTTATATTTCAGTTGTTTATGTCCCAGCAAGAAGCTGCACATCCTGCACTTCTCTCAGCACACATCACTCAATGCAAATATTCCTCTTTTAACCACTGAGGAACATCCTCACAGAGCTCATCTTATGGTCTTAGCACCTCCTCTTTGGATAGGTGCAGAACACTGTGGTGCAAGAATCAGACCATGTCTGTATTTCTACAGCTGAGCACTTAGCTCACGCTGGATGGGTCTGAAGTCTGGTGCTCACCTACACGTAACCATGTCCCTGGTGGAACAAGGAAAGATTATGTTCTACAGCACAAAAGATCTATCAATCAGGACCTTGTCTTATCGCAGCTGTGGAAAAAAAGAGACTAAAACATTCTGGGTTTGTATCACTCACAGATTCATACTTTGACTAGTGATCTCATCACCTGTCACTAACTTTTCAGAGAGCTTTTGGCTTTTCACAAAAACTGTATGCGGGCTCCTATATGGTCATAACATTTGTAAAAACCCAAACCAAAAATAAATAGACAAAACAAATAAAAGCCTAGTACTAATCTTTTCAAAATGCAACAAAAACCCATATATTTTTGCCACATTCAGCAACCTGAATTCTGTATGTGGTCTGAATTTCTCTTTAAGGTATCTATTTCAAAAAGTATCTTTTAGAAGTATCTTTTTTTCTCTTGTCAATTTTATGATGCAATAAAACTTCAGATCATACTGAAATATGAAATAGAAATGTACCCTGATGTAAAATGCATTAGTTGTGCTTAGACATTTGTTGGGAGCTCATGACTCCATGTGGCACCAGTTTGAAACCACACAAACACCACAGAAAGAATCACCTTGTGGGATCAGTGCAGGGAATCCAGTTCACCTCTGGATCAGGAATATCCTCCAGGTAGGGGTAAATGGTGTCCCTCGTGAAAACCCAGCCATAAATGCCATCCTCGGGAGTCACAATGATGCGGGCACCCTGGCACAACAGGCTCCATTAAGAAGGCACCATCAAGGCACCCCTGGGACAGTCAGAGGGAACAGAAAACACCAATCAACAATACTCATAATCCATTTCATACCTGCTGCGCTGCTTCCTTGATAGCTCCTTCCAGAACATCCATGTTTCTGTTCATCAGGGCCAAAGCATCATCAGGAGAAGCCTTGTCAACAGTGCGTGGCAGGATGACGGCGTGCTCATACACGGCTGCAATGAAGGTGTCCAAGGCCAGGGCCTGCAGGACTGCCAGGGCAAGCACTGCAGCACGTACCAGGATCTGGGAAGGGAGCATGGCTGCTGCCTTGCAGTTTCTTGAATGCTCCAAGTCACAGAGAAATGAAGAGGGAACATACACAGAAAATAAAAGAGGGTCAAAGTTTAACATGGGAGGGAAGAAGTGCTGGCCTGTTAAAGCAGTACCTTGGAATCAAGCGTCTCTGGTGATATACAGGAAAGTTCAACTTCATAAGGTGAGGATGTTGCAACTCAGAATAAAAGCTGGCAGAGGACACAGGCAGTCACAAAACAGTGGGTAGAGCCAAGTGTAATAATGCCAAAGTTTAAGTAAGTTATTAAGCATATGACTAGAAAAAGGCATCCAAATTTTCTCTTACATTGTTTCTGTCACTGATTACAATGCACTTCTGCCATTTACATTGGCTTAAGCCTTATACACAGAAGGCTGCACAGATCACCAGGCCCTGCAGCACGTGTTCCACAATTCACCCTTCCTACCTCCAACAACATTCTGTTTATTGATCAGAGTGCTTCCTTTTTAATTTTTAACTTCAGTTCAAATGCCTTTCTGCATAACATTTTTTTTACATTCTAACAGTTGCAGCATTTTCATTTGGAAATGATTACTTAACAGAAAGGTTTGCTGAGTGGAAAGCAGAGCAAGGTGCCTGCCACCATTGCAGAGGCATCTCAGGAAAGACAGAAATGCTCTGGGTGAATGCAAGCACCACAGAGAGACAGTGAACAAGTGCTTTCAAGCATTAGGAACATCAATGCACATCTGCTGATGTTCATCACTACATACTTCTCCAGGTACAATGTCAGATACAACATGCTCATTCAGGAACCTTGAATATAAGCCCCTGAAGGGTAGCAACAGAGATTTTAGTGATAAGCAAAGTAATGTAGTTTGGAAGGCTTTTTCGTTGTTGTTATAAAAGGAAATACAGATTGTGTCACAATAGCCTCAATTAGCCCTAAGTCTAAGGAGGAAGTGGAAAATGCTCCCCTGTTTAGCAAGAGCCAAGAAAACATTCAACCCACACAGATGACCACCCTGGCAGGGTGTGCACTGGCCTGCAAGGCTGAAGTCACCCTGCCAGGACGAGGTTTCTGCAGTAAGGCTGAGTGTCTGGTGCTGTGCCAGCTGGCACCACTGTCAACTGCCAGCAGAACTGGGAGCTCACCCAGGAAGAAGGAAATAATCAGGTTAAGAAAATAAACAACATAAAATGTACCGAGTCAAATCCTGTAAAACTACAGCAGTCCAAGCTATAGATGGCCACAAGCAGTGTAAGAAGATGGTTATACTGGAATTCCCTCTATTTTTCACACCTCTGTTCTCCCCCTTTCCCCAGTTCCTGCTACTACATGAGGACAGAATTTACATGATTACTTACCTTTAAGAGAGAGAACACAATTTGGTGCCAAATCAGTTCAGCTGTAGGGACAGTCTGCCTTCACAACACATTCGTGCTCCTTTTCTTGAACTAAGAGAAACTGCTTGGAAAATGACTCTTCATTTGAAAAGTTAATCGTTCTGTGGAAAAACTTGTGAGAACGAATATTCCTTCAACCAGGAAATCACTGCAGAGCAGCAGGAACAGGCTGAGTGAGCTCAGTAGCCCCTCCTATTTTAACCACTGCACATAGTTGTGGTACGGCTCTGAAACAGGATACCACGTCCTGTGGCATAGATACACATGCTGAGACACTGTACCTTTTCATAACAAGCAGTGTTTTCCACCTCCACTATATCAATTGCACACGGTTACTATTTAATACAGCTACAAAGTAAAATCTTATTTTTACCACATCATTTTGTTCAAACGCAAAGCATTTTACGCCCTGCAAGTCTAATTTTTTTTATTATTATTTTGAACAGATTAAATGCAAACAATGTTGTTTTCTTTCTTTTTTTTTCTTCCAAAAACAAACCTGAAAAATAAGCTGTAGAGTTTACATCATATAAAAATCTTAGCCAGTACACACAAAGTAATCCAGTGCACCCTCTTGGCCTATGGGTAAGTAATCTGTTCATGCTGCTAGCTTGTGCCAACACCTGCATGCAGCCTTGACACATCAGTATCAGCAACCATTTCATCTGGGAGACTGATACATCCTGTGAAGTTGCTCCTTTTCAGGATTTTTATTATAGCTCCACCTAACTGCTTAGAAAAGGTGATAATTATCAATAGCTTTGTGGAACAGAGATTTTCCACATTGTAAAACTGTATCCAGGAAGATCAAGTAGCCTCCCACAACTGCAATTTAGGGCATGGCATGCCAACATATTACACAGTGCTGAGCTGACTATCTGATTTTGAAGCAATATTCTTGTTTTCTTTTTACAAGTAGATGATAACTTAAAAGTTCGGCCACCTGCCTTCAAAGTTTTCATTACTCTTATCTGGTTTAGGAAGGGGCTTGCTCAGATATGTGGCTGAACAGTGTTGTGGAACTGACTTTGATACATCTCCCTAAAATAATTCAGATGGTTAAAAATCTTTTGTTATTGGGCCAGTATCCTCTATTCTGGGTCTGGATTTCATGCTACTGAAGTCAACGGGATTTACTTCCCCCAGTGGGATCAAGGTCAAGTCTATGACAATTCTAAGCTATCATACAAAAACAGACACAGAACTGTCCAGCAGAGTAATTCACTTTGTTGCAAGATTAAGTACACAAATCAATGTGCGATGACTATGTTGTTAGGGCAATTTAAGAAATAATTTCCATTATAATTGTGTGTATTGGCATTAATTAAAATCAGTTAATATGATAGTTAGTACCAGAGAAACAAGCAGAATCTTAAGAGCATCTGCAGTGATATTGTGGTGAAGCTTGGAGCATGCAGAGGGTCCTTTTCATACCATCTCCCAAAGAGCACTACATTCAAAACTGGCTAGGATGTACCAGACCAGCGTATCAGAGGTCCATCAGTTAGCATCTAGTTATGGAAAAGTAAAGAAAAAAGGAACATCAACTAAGCAATATTATTGTATGACAAACACAAAATAATATACTCATTAATGTTGACCTGGTTGAAAGATGTCTTAGAAAAAAGACATAGCAATCTGTGTGAATGCAATGTGTATGAATCACTTATACAGAGTTACTATGCCTAAATAGAAACCATACAATATTTCTGTCTTGGGAAAGATTTTATTCTAAGAGACTTAGGTGGACATATGGGTTGATCTGTGAATTTTCTATCAGTCCATAAGAGTTCCAGTTATTCGGTCTGGGGTTGAGGGATTTGGATTGATCAAGAGGCTGTACAAATTCAACTAGCAAAACCAGACAAACAAAGCTGCCTTGAACTTGAGCTACTTACAGAAATTGAGGGCACTAAATTCCATGTCTTGCAGTGCCTTTTTAATCATTCATACTACATGATTGACAACTCCAAAGGGTATCTTATTACCTCAAATTCCCCAGGGGCCAGCTGCACACCACCGTACAAGACTTGTAGAAAGATGTAGTTAGTGCCAAACATGCTGCTGAGGGAGAACATGGCAAACTTGGTCTGTGTGGTCACTGCTGGCTACCAACACAAGCTCAGTTCTATGCTTCTACACTTCAGGAGTGCATATCTGTGCAGAAGAGGATACTGAAAAGCAAAAATATCAGTCAGCTTTCACAAAACAAGAGCTGTAAGTTGATAGTAAGAAAACATACAGAAAGATAGTAAGAAAGGTACAAAAATCTAACACATTAAAAAAAAGAAGCCTAGCAGAAAAACTTAAAATAACCACTATGCTGACAAGCCATGTGGATATAAACATTATATCCATATTTAGTTTCTTCATTTTGAAAGATAATTATGCATTAGAAAATAACATTAGCACAGTGGCAAAATCCACAGCAGAAAATATCTCTCTCCTGTGAGAAGAGCATCCATATGAAGTCAGTGAGAACTCTAACATCTTCTCTCCCTTTCATAAACATACAAGAGAAACCTTAGCATGTTAGAGCAAAGATCAATTCAGGGTCTTGACTTTCATGACTATGATATTATCATAATATAAACAGAAAAATGAGATCAACATCATTCATGTTAACATGTCTCATGAAGTAGTTTTGAAAGAGGCCTAAAAATGTCTCTTCTTGAACCACCTCAATCAAAAATGGGACAAATACAAAGGGTCTGTAAATAGAATATTCCAACCTTCCTGCTGTCCAAATAGAAAACTATTACCTGCACATAATACTCTCCTTCAACAACATGTGTCTATCAAAGGCACCTAGTACATGAAATTTCATCTTCCTGCTTGTCTGACATCTTGCAACTCAGGTGGCAACAAAAGTCCTTCTGGCAAATGGAATGATTTCCTTCAGGTTGAGTTCAGTGAAAAATAAGAGAATGTGGTACACAACTACGCTGAAATAATTCTCATTTGGTGGAAACTGTCTGATACTGCTGTCATACAACTTCCAGTCAACAGCAGAAAGATAGTCAGGAGACAGACAAGGGCACAAACTCAGTTCTGTCACCAGAAGGTGACTGTTTCCTGTTTTTGTATTATAATAGTATGCTCTCAGACCATTTGGGGCATAAGTACCGCTGGGGGGGCGGCGCCCCCCCCCCCCCCCCCCCCCCCCCCCACACACACACACAAAACCAGTAAGCTTTTGATCTGAAAGAAAGCACAAGTAAGCAGACTTTTCTAGCTAAACATGTCTACTGGACTGTTCTGAAACTAAATCAGGTCTTCACAGACTACAGTCCTGATCTAAAGCTTTTTTGCTATCAATGAGAAGTAAAAGGAACTCTGATGTTTCTTGTACTGTGAGTCACAAAATTAGTACACTATGCTGTAAGATAGGATTTAAGTAGTTGAAGATGTACGTTTCTTCTTAAGTTTAGCTCCACTAGAAATCCACTAGATCCACTTGAAAAAGGAGTGCTTCTGATTAAAGTGAACACTAATGTTATTGAGTAAAAAACATTACCTGTAAAGAATTAAATTACCAAAAGTCACATTCCTATGCAAGTTCTTCATGTAAATGTATCTTTAAAGCCAAGAGTAAAACTATCTATAAACAATATGAGTTGTCTGGCTTACGCTCATCAATTACTGAGAATAGGTACAGCTTGTATTTGCTTTTATTTCAAGGGTAATTTTTAAGGATACTTTTTAGCAGCACCAGTAAGTTTCTCTCATTCTGAAAACATTAAATCTGTGCTTTACTTCTACCATCCTTTCAAGAAAACTGTACAGTGAAGAGCCTGCAAAGAGAACTTTCTGTAGTTTACCAGACTCTCAGGAGCATTGCTTAGCACTATGTTTCCACCTAGTGGAGAAAAAAAGTTTGGGCCTTAACACGAACAAAACATTGATGAGCGCCACTTCTGTGAGTCAGAAGATGAAGAACCAATCACACACGAAATCTCAGGAATTATCACTTTAAAAGGCACCAAAGGTACTCCAGCTATCTTAAACATTTCTGAGTTGCTATATATCACATTTTGATTTCCTCTTTATTTGTAGAAGTCTTAATCCTATTTACATTTGTATGTATGCCCAAAAGTTATGGGTATTTCAGGTCGGGACAACAGAGTTACAAATATATAAATGTTTTCCTTCCGAACAAGATAAATATCATATTACCTTTTGTACCCAAAGAAGAGTCGTGTGCATTTGCTGAGAGAAAATTGACATGCATTCCCATACCTGAGTGAAACTGGATCACCAACAAAAGTGGGAAAGTTATTAACAGAAGCAGTTGAAAATAGAATGTTGGCAACCTGAAATGTGCTCACCAAAACCATAGCTGGATTACAAAAGAGTATGTCTGCACAAGTGAAGATGCCAAAGTATCCAAAGGATGCATCAGAAGTCAAAAATTCTGGATCCTTTGGGCAATTAAACTGTTTCTGTCACAAAAAAGGATGTATTGTTTGTTGACAGAAAAGTATTTTAGAAAAGGAATCAAATGGTTGGAATCAATAATATTAATTATAGCATTCATTCACTTAAATACAAGTAATTGAGAATATGTTTTGTGAACATGTTACTTAATTTTGAAAAGGAAAATTCAAACCATTGCAAGAGGAATTAAGCACAAATATCTGCGATCCTGATTTACAGAAGTGAAAGAGATTTCTACTTAGCAGGAGTTCAAGACGTTAAAGTTTTAATGCTTCATGCTACTTCCTACTGATAAACACTAAAAATAGATGGTCCTAAGAGTTTTGATTAAATTTCATTTCATTACTTGCTATTAATTAAAGAAGAGCAGGAGTGAAGGTATCTTAAAGGAGTGACTTTTCCTTGCTGATGTCTGCTAAATAACGACTCTATGTACAAGTACACTTAAGCCTGAGAAGTAGCCTTTATTCCACATTTTTCATTACCCACTTATCATCCAGTTCCTGAACTTCATGGAATTGTTGTACCTTGTGATAACAAGCCACCAGTTTCCTTTTGGAATCAAAGACAATGTTGGTATTGTACTGGTAGTAACCATCACTCTTGGTTACCTTGGATCACTGAACTTACATGGCTTCTGGTTCCCCATATTCACAACCACGTAGATGGAATAATTCCTTGCCAGCACAGGCAGCACAGCTCAGTCTTTTCTGTACTGGTCAGGCAAATCAGCATGGAGGGAAGGAAATAAGACATCAAAAACAGTATAAATGCCAAAACTAAAACTAAAGACCACTAAAATAATCAGTTTAGTTGCTTTTCATACAATTGTTTTCCATTGTTCAACAGGAGGCAGCGGTTTTGTGTTTCAAAGCTTAGAATGCTGAAACTCTGGCTTTATCTTAAATCAAATAACTGAGGAACACAGCAGTTTCCTCATAGTGAAAGTTAATCTCTGCACCTTCTAGTTCTCTTTTTTGCTGCTGTCCTGTAGAACAATGATGTGACCTTGACATCTGAGGAGATCTTAGCATTCTGCTTCAGCTCTTGATTCAGCTGCTATCATGATGTAGCTCAGAATTTGTTTCTTCTACATTGTGCTCCATTATCTTTCATAAATTCATAGAATCTTAGTGCCACCGGGCTGGAAAAGACTTTCAGAATCATCATGTCCAACCATCAACCTGAACTACCAGGTCTCATCAATAAACTCAGTGCACTGATCACACATCTCTTCAACACTTAAGCAGTTCATTCCTACGCTTGATCACCCTTTTCCATGAAGGAATACTTCCTCATGTCCAGCATAAACATCCTCTAGCACAACTTGAGACTGTTTCCTCTTGTTCCATCGCTTGTTACCTGAGGAAAGGAGAGAGACACCATTCTCACTGCAACCTCCATTCAGGCTGCTGGAGGGACCAAAGAGATCTTCTCGCAGCCTCCTTGTAAGCCACTAAAAATGGTACAATTTATTAAGGAAAAATAAAACTTGAGCTTCCTTCCCTTTATAATGCAGTGATGTCAAAAAGAACTGGGTCAGAACAATATCACACTTTAATTTGAAGGAAGTAAAATACGTTAACATTAAATGGCCATTATTTCTTTTATATAAATCTTGACCTTCATGAGCATACTAATACACACACAGAAAAAGAATTAAAGCGAAAAAGATTTACGGAAAAAAAAATATCAAGGAAGTTGTCTGAAGCTATCTATGGCAACTAACAAAGTCTAAATTCTCTTCCTCTAACAGTTGCCCCAAGACATTTTAAATGATATGCATAAGCAATCCTCAATGCAGTTGTTTTTCTCAACTGTACTGTTCCCCTTCTGTAGCAAAGACTATACCTTTCAGAATCAGTACATGGAATGCAGTCCACCTGGGGGTCTGGAATATTCTCAAGATAAGCATATACTATTCTCCTCATAAAGACCCAGCCACAAATACCATCTTCAGAAGTCACAACAATACAGGCACCCTAGTATTGACACAGAAAAACAAAAGACAACATCTCCCCCCCTCTCCGTAGTTGACAAGCATTTACCAAAATGAATGGCTCAAATTAAGTCATAATACCTACCTGCTGCTTTGTTGACAGCCGCTTCCAAAATATCCATATTTCTGCCATCAACATCATCATCCTCAGGAGAAGCAGACATTTCTCTGTCCTCTGACAAGTGCACACTGCTTGTAGGCAGCTGTGACATAGCTGTCTGAGGCCCAGGCATCAGGAGCAGACAGCACCAAAACCACAGCAAAGCTATGAGACCTCAAAAGCCCCATACCTGAAACCTGAAGTCACCCAAGAGGAGGACAGGGGCAAGTAAAGACAGGGAACTTAATAAGGAAGGTCTCGCAGAAACCTGTGAGTTCCTTGAAGTGCTAGGAAGTCAACACCATGCAACACAATCCCCATGTCTCAAAAACCTCACAAAACGAAAGGTCAGAGAGTTGCGAGCATTGAGCAATCTGCATTACGCCACTGATACAGAAGTCACTGCTGTGCCGCAGTTGAAGAAACACTGCCGGCCAGATTAGCAAACTATTCAAACACATCATTGCTGTGGGAAGGTAGGTTAATGTAAGCCCAGGTCACAGCAGAAGAAAGCCAGTTTGGGAAACCTGAGGAAAAAAAAAAAAGCACACGCAGATCTAGTAGGGTGTGGGCAGGGAACTGGCCCTGAGGTCAGCACTGCTGTTTGGATGCGAATGGTGCCACCACCAGCTCAGCACTGCTCCAAATGAGTTTACTTATGCATTGTATTTATTCACAATTTTAGACTGTACGACTACACTAATAAAGCAAACTGGGTATTTAGACCTGCCATTGGATGACAGAATAACAGCACCAGACATGGGAGCACTCAGTTTCCCATAGGAGATTCCACTGCTCTTCAACCATAGTTCCTGGACTCCTAGATAATCACAGCAGGAGGTTTGAGAGTTAATCTGAAGAACAGATCTGGAAACCAGGACCTCAATTTAGGTTGTGGGGTTTTTTTTGTTTTTTTGTTTTTTGTTTTTTGTTTTTTTAACTTCTACTGCAAACATGAAAGAAGGGAGAGAGAAGATGTAGTGCCAGACCTGTTAATTTTCTACTGGACAACTGGAGAAGCTCGTGGGCTGCAGGACAGCTCATTATTTTCAGTGACATTTGTGTTCTTGTAAATCCTTACCACTTCAACTCCTAGCAGCACAAATCAGGTAGGAAAGTAGGTGATTTCTCAGAGTGAATGAAATCTCATTTCTATGGATTTGTACCTTGTACCCTTTGCATTTATCCCTAGTTTTCTCAGTTCCCTCTCACCTGCCTCACCCACAGCAAGGGCAGGATTGGCATTTTAAAACAGGCTGAGTGGTACACTCTAGATTTCAGAAAGATCTAATACCAGGCACAAACAGAAAGCTATTGCTTTTCTGCTTTTTGGCACCCTATTCAGCTCTCTCACAGCAGTTTTTCTCATTAGTACCCAAAAAAGAGCTCTGGCAGAAAATTTTTCATGTAAATTCCACTGGCTACTCACTACAAAAAAGTTGATTGCAAACCTAGGGGTAAACCATTTTCCTTATCTATGAGACAAATGGATAGCACAGAGTACCTCTTCTAGGGCCCGGTTCTGGGTTCAAGGACAAACTAAGACTCATGCCACAACTGAAGACTAAAAATCTAGAGTCAGTTTGCTAGGCATGTCCATATCTCAGTTCACTTCACCTTTTGTGCTTAGTATCTAGAAGGAGATTTTTTTTCCTCTCTGTTGACCCTAGACTTCTGATAGACACACTTACTACACAGGCAACTGGGACAAACACTGCAGCTGGCATTTACTAGCAAAACAGTTATCTCACAGACTAACCTAGGCTTCCACATGTTAGAGGAATGTATGCGTACACACACACACACACACGCACGCACACTTGGAGTACCCCATCTCCTCCAAGACTGGAAATCAATTCTGCATGGAGATGTTTACTTCTCATTTTCAGGCACTTTCGTATATTATAAACGCTAGCAGACACAAAGACTTTTCCTGTTCAAGAAAATTCACAGAACTTAGGAAAAAAAGAAGTTGTTTTATTGAAAACAGCATTATGCTTAAATGCTTTGCCACTTCAAAATTCTGTTTCAAAATTTTACAGTGTCAGTTAAGGTATTACAAGATAGTCTTTCTTCTAAAAAAAGAATAGAGAAAAATCATAGTAGCAAAATAGTAGCTTTATCTGAGAGTAATGCACAGCAGGCTCAAGTACAGTAGCCAGACATTTAAAAATGCACCTCTTCACATACAGTGGTACACTGTATACAGAATACAATTAAACAGGCTGACATTTGAAGGTTACTCATCAGTGCAGCCAATCCACGTGAGGACTTCCAAAAGAAAGGCAGTCAGTGTTTAGTGTTTCAAAACAGTGATGCAGCTCCAACTAAACCACAACTGGTCATTCATTAGGGAGATCATGTATCCCAAGACCACAACAACAAAACACTGTTAAGCCCGCTCACTTCAACACTAAGTTAAACTACAATAACAAACAGAGAATCAAACTCATTTCTGGCTATGTTTCACTACCCAGTAGATGAGTTCTTTCTTCATTATCACTAGAAGGGTTTTGCAGGCTGGAACTGGAGCTGTTTGCAGAAGGAAAGGAATAGGAGGGGAGAAACAGGTTTAACATTCTGTAGATATTTCTATGTAGTACCAATATTATAACATAAAACTCACACAAGATATGGAAAGAGCTAAGTGGATCATTGAATTTGTTTCCTTAGCATTGTGCAGAACTACGTAGTACTACTTTCACACCCCTTGTCTCTACTGACATAATTCACAGATATCCTTCTGAAGGAGCCATCAGTGGGATTTAACCCTTAATATAACAGTAAAGTCCAATAATGTCACAGTAAAGTCCAATTGCACTTAGAGAAAAGGCAAGACCCAGTTCAGGTCTCTGTTTAGGTCAGTAAGGATTTAGTAAAGAATAGAGATGTATGTAAGCAATACTTTTACTGCTCATTCTGTCATTTAATATCAGATTGGTAGTGAAGAAGAAACAGAAGCGTGGCTTCCAAACATCTGCTTTATACAGCTTTAAGTAAAACAAAGAATAACTCCACATACCTTTTTCTTGTGGCCTCAGCAATATAAAATATTCCAATTGCAAGTCCCTTTGAGAAAATGGTCAGTTACAATCATAATAATAACAACCTTATGCAACAGCTCTTAAGTGCAACATATACGAAAAGCAAAACATTTATCACTTACACTTAACACTGCCCATCCTCCTTGGATGGCTGACGCCCATTCAAAACCCAGCTTTTCATTTAGAAATCCTCCTAAAGTGGGACCTACAAATGCCCTGTAACAAAGCAAAAAGAGGTGCAGATATCCCAAGTAAATAAAAGGTACAGATTGTATTTCTGCACAGGTTTTATTGGACTTTGTGGCCTTCCTCCATTGATTCTTTCCTCATCAACAAAGAAGCTGACTTCTGCAGCAAGTATTAACTCTTTGTTTGTTACAGCCCCAATAAATTTACTAAGTTGTCTCCTCAGCTGTAGACAGGACATACATTAGAATGCTAAATGCACTCTTTTCTGTATCCTGCATGTCTTGGGAGCTCCATTAACTACAGTGTTCTAACAGCACCTACATAGATACCTTCTACCATAAAAGAAATTTAAACCCTCATCTCTCAAAATTTAAACCATCCAAATCTGGAAATAGATGGATATAAGCAGGTGGAAAGGCACAGTGTGATGGTTATGGTTCTCATTACTGTGCTCACAAGGTTGAGCTGTATGTAAAACCTGGCTCCTCTGCGTCAGCCTAAGAATGCCATGAAAGGTTATGCAAAAAAGTCCTACATGATTCTGTCATTTGCTACAGTAAGGGATGAAACTCTGTACAAGAAGAGATTTCCTGGAAGCCAGCCATAATAACAGCATGCTCAGCAGCAGCACAAAACTGAGTTTTATTAACTTCATACTGCATCTATCTGTACTGAACCCTGTACACCAAATAACTTAAGTGCTAGATGTCCTGTTTATCTTATAAAAATTGTGCAACTGAAACCCACCTGCAGCCACGGAAGACTACACAGACTGACAGAATATTGTGAAAGTGGCTGCCAACAGAGGGATTCAATTCTCATTAACAACTTTGGAAAGTTATTCAGATCAGTAGCATCTTTCACTCATTTCTGTGACAACCACTGGGTAAGAAATTCAGGAACACTGTGCTAAGCTCTGCAAAAACAGACCCTGAATAATGGCTGTAGTTGAGAGAGAACAGTGTTCCATGCAGAACATAAAAAAAGGTAAATGCAGGAGGAGAAAAAAATTAAAAAAAAAAAAAAAAAAAAAAAAACCAGTCTACTTATGTCTATAATAAACACCAAAGGTTTCAGTGGCAACAAAAATAACCATTAAAGAGGGCAAACTAACACCCATTTAATCAGGGCAGGTTTTTTTATATGAAGGCATTTTAAAGGTAGACAAGTCCATTCCCTTGCAGGATAAAAGCCTTATTTCAACACATCCACTACACATTTGGCAAGAATCTCTTGAATGGAAGTCAACACAGTGACCACAATTGGAATTCAGCATGTTTTCACATAGCAATAGTGAAGAACAACCAAACACTGTAGCCTATTAAAAGGTAACTGCATACATACCCAAGGGACCACACAGCATTAAAGAGCCCAGACACCAGCCCCAGTAGACTCAAGCCTTCTTCAAATCCATTTTCACTGCAGGGAGACAGAGCACAATTAGAGATGCACAGCCATTACTGTGTCTCAATCTACATCCTCCCCCTAAAATGGGTTTGGTGGAATTACATTTGTTTATCCAGTACTTTCTTTGCTGTTTTTCTAGAAGGCTGCAATGCTACTTCTCTCTCATGTCTTCTTGGGCAGACTTCTAACACCATCACTCAGCCTCCATATTTCATACGGCAAGTGTAAAACAACGATAGGTGGCTTTTAAGAAGGAAAGACCTTGCTTCAAGGGGATCATACTTACAAAAGTAAATCAAGACCCTTCTAGGGCATTGCTGTCAAGCCACATCACAGACTTTGTACCTCAAGCAAGTGCAACTTGCCAGTTGTTGGCAAAATGCCAACGCAGACTGAAAATCCAGTTCACACTGTGGACTAATGTTCTTCAGAAGGTGAAATAAGTCCTGTGTATATGAAACCACACACGAGTCACCCCTAACTATGAGATTAAAAGTCTGTTAACTGTGCCAGTAGTGCAGAAGTACACATCTACAAAAATTTACTTGCAATATGACTGTGTAAATGGGACGCTCAGCCACAAAAATATAGGACAAAAAAAGTAGT